GGCAACAACATCACAATCATTAGCAACTAACAACAGCGCTTACAATGATAGACAGTGTGCTTGTGTTTGTTTGTGTGTGATGCTAGCTAATCTAAGGGCTCCGCATGGGCAAATTGATAAAATTTGTCACTTGTTTCTAGATCTGGGATTAAATTTGGCTACGTGTGCAGATATGTGTGTGTGTGTGTGTGTGTGTGTGTGTGTGTGTGTGTGTATATTTGTGCGTTGTCATTTTCCAAAATGCCAAATTTCCGGTGTGTGCATGTGTCTATCTCTCTTCCACTCGCTTTCGCATAATATTCAATCGATGTCATCATTTTCCTCGACCGTCTGTTTATAAAATTTCCGCACATTCACAATCACATGTGTGTATAGCATTGCGTTGTACCCCATATACGATGCAGAAAATTTAGAACAATGCACGGCTCTTAGTATCTAAGTCAATTAATTATATTTTGGTTTCGGTGCTGGTGTTGCTGCTGCTTATTTTTTTTCGCAACAACTGACAAATGAATGACTGTACGGTGTACGTCATGCCATTACCGTGTTACCACTCAAATTTGTAATGAAAACAACCACCTGACAAAGAGATGGAAAATGTTTAACAATGACACAAAGCCAAACAAATAAGTGCGTTGGAATTGATATTTTGCGAAGAGAGCGAGAACGCGACACACGAAACTGATAAGTGGTGGTGAGGTAGAGAGCACATGAAATGTGAGTTCATACTTCGCCCAGTTTTTTTTTTGCTTCTTCTTTTTTTCTACTCCGTTGTTTCTCTCCAATTCATGGTATGGTTTTTGTCTCTTCATTTTCTGTGTCATTTTTCGTCAAGCCTTATACGGTTGTGCTGGTTGAAATAACCCAACCGAATCGAAGCAGAAGAACAAAAAAAAAGTAACGTAGAAGAAGAAGCCGACTCGAGGAATATAATATGGAGCGCAAGAGAATGGCGAGAAAGAATAGACTCAACAACAAACAATCTATTTGCACAGTCAGTGTCTTCATTTTATTTATTGTCAAAGCGACATTTAGACATATCAATCAAAATGTATGTGGATGTGGATGTGGATGTGGATGTGTGTGTGCGTGCGCCGTATTTATTTAGAGATTGATGGTTTGAGAGCGATGTCTTGCAAGTACATACACATACAATGGACATTTTGTTGTCATCATTGTTGTTGGCACCATTTGGAATTTTTGTCATCCAAAATATTGAATGTCGCAATGTACACACTCTAATTCGCTCGTTCGCTACGCTCACACAATAACACACACACAAGCGCGCGCCCGCATCCGCAATTCAAAAGACAAGAGTTGATCTCTACTTACAACCGAAGAGCATTCGGTTGCAATTAATTTTTAATAAAGTGAGCTGTGTGGACGAAACAGAGACACGCTTACTTCGTCAAGTGTTTTGTCGCTAATGCTCTAATGGATCCAAATGCCAACTAAGTGCAACAAAGTCCATACAAAACACACATAACACACACACAAATGGGCTGGGAGTCGACACAAACAGTGTATGTGGTACGAAAGCACAGCCATTGTTGTTTATGATTTGACAAAACGATTCGATCAATTGATAAAGCCATTGGGAAAAAGGGGAGATTTATTGTAACTGCCGAAGAAAAACCGTATAACACGGTTGGGAATGGAACACGATGAATGGGTGGAAAAAAGCGATAGAGAGGCAACGACAGGGTCGCGTTGATGCTGAAGTGTGCGACAAAGTGAAACAAAATGATTTCAATGCCCTATTAAAACGCTTTTTCAAGAGCTGGCTAAATGTAGAGCGGTCCGATTTTTCTTTTTTTAGCTTCGAAGATTTGCTAAAGATTCACAACAGATTCGGTTTCATTGACCATTGAAATCGTGGTCGTCATCGTCATCGTCATCACGACACAAAGCCATCGATTTCAATAGGTTTTTTTTCTTCTCATACGTAGAGTACTCGGTGGGCTCAAGTTTGAGCGAATGAAAAACGAAATTGTCTTGTCTTATATGTATATAGATGGTCCCTGTTATTTTCGATCAATGAGTTTATTTTTTATGGGGTTTCCTCGCAACCATTCAAGTACTGTATGGCGTACATACTCTATGAGTGCCGTTATTGAGAGCGAGAGTGAAAAACAAGACCGCAAAGCGTTCTTGAGTTTTTAGTTACTTAATCTATTTTGTTGTTTCACAACAAACTATTTTTTGGCGCACTATATGGAATGTATTTCATCAAAATAACTTTCAAGTAATATATTTATTTACAACAAAGTACAGAAAAAAAATGCTCAGTTATTTCAAAAATGAATTAAAAGATCTTGGTTTTATTTCTTTTTTGAAATATAATGCCTTTAGTTTAAATTAAATAAAAAATATGAGCATAAAATTCAAATTCACCATAATTTGTTTCAGTAGTCAAAAAGTATTAAGACGAAAAAATGAGAAGATCAGTAGCTCTATATTTCATGTAGTGCTAAAAAACAGACACAGAGTGAATGCAAGTAAGAAATGACATCAATGATTTATACGCTTTATGTTCTTCATTAGACATGGCTGTGGCATTTTTGTAATCAAACCGAAAAACTTTGTTGACTCCTTTTTTTTTATTCAATTTGAGTCATTCATTTAAAAGCAACCGAAGGGCCAAAAATGCGAAAAACTTCTTCAACATTCGAAAGGGTCCATCTAAATGGTGTCTGAATCACAGAGAGAAAACTTTCACAAGAGAGCCAAAAATCTGATTATTTTCGTGGCATTATAAGTATTCAAGAATTTTGTAAACGACTGAAGAGATATATACAATAAAAAGTGAGTGTGTATGTGTACTGTACGGCATGCGTTCAACACCCGGCTCTGATATATGGATGTCGTTGGGAAGAAATGAAGCAAACTAAAAATGGTGGTAGGTAAAGGAACAAAATAGCAGAAGCGGCAAAAAGGAAAGGGACCGATACAGAGAACCCGATATCGAAATGAATGAATATCGAATGTGAAGAGGAAACACGAGAGACGAGCAGCGAACGAACGGAAAAGAAGAAAAAGTAAATTACACTAAAAAGAGTATAAATGATTTGGAATATTGTGAAGCTTTTGTCAGCCGAGTCGGCCTGGGAGAGTGGGTGAGTGAGAGAGAGAGAGAGAGCGAGGGAGAGAGAGAATCGAAGCGAGGGGGTGCTTGCTATTGAGTTTTTCGATTATTTAAGTTGAAAGGGGAATGCGTACATGAAGCAACAGAAGAAGAAGCAGCAGCATTCAATAAAGCAGCTTTTCAATGATGACAAAAGACGGGACACAGCACCACCACCACCAGCAACAACAACAACAAAAACAAATGGCACCAGTTTGGGAAGCTGGAGCAAAAGTAAGATAGATACCTTCAGTTCAGAGATACTATCGGTGAAAAAATATTTGTGCACTTTGCACGATGGAAATATACATATATCTCTTGATGTTTTTTTTTTTTGGAATCACATGAAAATGTACGCTGTGCCAAAGCCACAACCTTCTGGCATTTTTGTCACCATTCGTATTTCACTTTATGCAGCAGTAGCAGTAGCAGCAAAAGCTACAACAACCAACGGTGTCGTGTTGTTAGTCATGAGCTGACGCGAACGAAGATAAAAATTAATTTTTAACAAAATTTTCAAATTTTTGCGCTGTTGCTCTCGCCATTTTTCCTCTCTGAGTGTGGCACGCTCCGATTTTGCCTGTTATCATGTTAAACTGAATACATTTCGAAGTATGTGAATATATTTTTGGAATTTCAAAATTGACTTTATAAACCGAACACATACACACACACTCTCTCTCTCTCTCTCACACACACACACACACAGACACACAATCATAGGCTTGTGCTTTCGATTGACGTAATCACAAGTTAATGTAGATGGTTCTTTTTTCGGTTTTCTCATGGCTGCCATTGCCGCATCCTCGTTCTATTCGACAGCGGCGCAAGGTAAAATTTTCTCGCAAAAGAGAAGAAATGATTCAATTTATTGTTCGGTTGTACATCTCTTTTTTTATTCGTGGCATATCTTTTGTCTTTCCATACAAATACACACACAAATTTATCTCCGATGGCAAATGAATACCGATTCAAACAACTGATGAGCTCATTTTAATACCCTTCGCTGAAACGACAGGCGAAAATAAAAAGGTTAAATCTTCCCCTTCTGTACAAATAAAAATAGATAAAGTTCGGCAGAGCGCGCAAAAACAAAGAGAAGCACAAAAGCACACGTTTCGTTGGTGTGTGTGTGTGACGGGCGGCGTGAGAGAGCGAAGGCGACAGATTGAACTTTGATATGTGCACTCACCTGCTAAGGACGAAAAGGAGACGAATGAGAGATGGACATCAAATGTGACAAGGAATATAAGAGAAAAAAAATTGTGTTATTGTTTTACACAGACTCAACCACTCAAAATGTAAATGAATGGTGTGATGGGATGGGGGAGATTCAACTGAAAAAGTTTTATTATTCGAAACAACCAGCGATTGTGTTCAAAAGCAAGAGACAAATGCCTTGTGTGCTAATGTCAAATCACAATAATCGGAGATTGGTTATGCTTGCGGACACACAATTGAACTTTCAATTGAATCCACAGAACAAACACACACGCAAAAAGCATACACTCAACACCGACAATAAACGGTGGAATAAAATGAGAACGAGAAAAATAATAACAACAGTAAAAAAAAGAAGGAGCAAAGCACCCCAGTACACACGATCCACAACGATGAACGCAAATGAATCACAAATAACGATGATTTTGATACAAAACTAAACCGAGAATGCGAATGGGTGAGCGATGCGCTTTCGTTGTGTATGTGCTTTTGCCGGTTTGGCTTGGGAATTTGGAACGGTGTCGCCTGAAGCTGATGATGCTTGCACAATGCTAATTATTAATGGTACAACATTATATCTATCTAATGTAATGATTATATATATAGAAATAAATGTACGTATATGTGTATATAAAATATATATGGCTGGTATAACCTTTTATCGATAGCCGTGATCCATTCCATTGCCATGATAAATTGTCGTGATGTCACCTTCGTGTGCTCGTTCAAATGTTGAGGCTCGAATTGGAAACGCAACAGCAGCAGTAGCAGCAGTAGCAATAACAGTAGAAGCAAGCGTAGCAACGTTTTTCATGCACGTTAACACATTCAACCACTCTGAACGACAAAAACCTGTGTGTCGTTCGTTTGATTGACTTCTCTTCCAATGACTTTGTGACCGCGCGCGCGGTTTATAACGTCGTTTATTTTGCTCTTTTGCTCTGTGGCAAAATGTGGAAAAGAAACTGTGTGTGTTTGCTAAATTTAGTGTTTACTTTTGTTTATTTATTTATTTTCGCTCGCTATATATACTTTATACTTTATTTTTTTAAATTAAAAAATGAAATCTCGAAATGGTTTGCTTTCTGTGCTCACCACACTCACATCAGTTCACAGTTTATAAATACACTCACTATTTATCATTTATTTTCATTTGTTTAAATATTGAACGAAACAGCACAATGGAAAAAGAAACCGTAAAATTTCCATTAGACAATACAAAACATATTTGTGCTGACTCAAATTACGATGAAAAGTTCGGTTTCATGATAATGATTCAATATCTCATATTCCCGAACCGCGTTCTATATAATTTACACAATGTGGCCAAATTCTCTTATGTCACTATAAATATCGCGTTGGTGCGCTTTGCAAATACACTATCATTGTTTTGCCGGTCGGTCGTTTGGCTGATTTTTAAATATTAATATCAATTCTTTGAATACAGGCCCCGATCTCATCGAGAGTATTTAATATTCATCGAGGAATCGAGAAATCGAGCGAATTGAATGCAACACATTCCATTTGGGGGGATTCGATAGCCAACTCTTCTTTTTTTTATTATTTGGTTCTGTATCCCGTTTTGCCAGCAAAAATGCGACGCAATATATTAATTAACGGCAATATTATTTTACTTTAACCATATCTAAATGGTTTTGCGGCGAACGAATTTTATTGTACACAAATCGATTCCGTCGCGCACGCAGTATATATGTATGTGTATATATAAAATCATAAATCTCAATGCAGCAATACGATGCCGAGGTGTTGAAGTGCAAACAATTCACATCATATTAAATATTATTGCTTTATTTGTAGTTATTTGTCGAGTTTGGCGAAATAGCGAAATTGGTCTAGTTTTATTATGTATGTTTATTTTTCCTTTATTTATGCTCTTTTTTTGTTTACTCTTTTTCTTTCTCCTTCTTTGACCGTTGATGTTGGTTCAATGGTTCGAGGCAATTTTGCAGAGTCTCAACGTGCTTGTTCGCGCGCGTGTGTGTGTGTGTGTGTGTGTCGTGTGTGCGGGCCGTTGTCCGTTTAATCAACCAAAGTGATCAAGTGGTTTAATACGTTTTTTTTTATTGTTGCTAGTTCTTGTATAATTTTCGAAAACAATTTATGGGTGATTGTTATCGTGAAGTCCGAGAATAATTCCACTCAACTGTTGCAAATTCAACCGAGTTTTGTACGCACATTTGTTACCACTTGTATAAAAAAAAATTTCTTGACGTCTTTTATATTTTGTACATCTTGTTGTCGTCGTTTATATTTTGAGTCTGTTGAAAAACTGTTGCTCTGTTCAAACGGCGGTTTTGATCGCAATTTTCATTCGATTATTCTTCATTGTTTTTCCGTACGTTTCTCTGTCTCTTTCACACACACATGACGATAGCAGTAGCAGCACATCGATGAACACACGGGCTGGCGCATATATGCTGATTGCGATAGAGAACAGCAGCAGCAACACCAACGACGGCTATATCAAATTCTATGGGGATGAAGTCTTGATTTATGTGCTTTATTGTGCGGTTGAACTTGGAATTTTTGATGAATGACAACATGTAACAAATGGTGCGCTATTGTAATTTTGCTTGTGCTCTCTCTCTCTCTCTGTGTGTGTGTATGTGTGTTGTGTTTATTTGTTGTGATATTTGATGCAGTGCGTCTTTTTTTATTTTCGTTCATACCAATCTAGAATTATATTTAGATCGAATACAAAGAGATACATGTATATTTATATCGATAAATAATAATGGAAAATTCTTGAAACGGCCCAACAGATTTTCCTCATTTGAATTGATATAATGATCATAATGGTAAACAAATTGCAACAAAAATTTGTCACATAACAACCAACCGAATTACAAGCAGTGGACAAAAAAGAAGAACAAATGAACCAAACACAAAACGAACAACAACAACAACAAAAAAATGACGATGAAAGCCAACAGAGCATTCACAAATATATGTGGCGCGCGCGTTTGTGTGCTTATGTATTTACAAACGCAGACACTAATTAAATGAGCATATTTTATCATCAGTAACATCATTAGCTGACAACAAAGTAAATCGTTTTCATTTTGGGTCAACTCTCGAAAATGCTAAACTCGCTGCTGTCATCGTCGTTAAAACACCGAGACATTGTGTATGCACGTTTCTGATTGTGATTCTAATTCTAATTGTGGTATCCCCCATTCATTTGTTTCGCTTGTATTCGTTCTGGCTGTCGTTTTTTTCCCTTCTGTCACAAAAGTAATAAACGAAACGTTGCTCTTCTTTGCAACAAATATTCGGGTGGTGAAATTTAAAAAAAAAAAACGTAAGAGAACGAGAACCACTTCGGATGTGCTTCGGTTGAAAAGTTTTGAATTTTCATTTGACTAACTCAGCTAATGAACAAATGATAATTTATTGCTCTCGGGGTTTTTCAATTCTCATTAAAATTGCAGCAGTATCTTTTGTTACACACACACATACTCGCATTCTCTTGGCCTTCTCACCACGAAATTGAGAGAGCTTTTGCTCTCTTGATGTGAGAGGGAATGTCAATTTTTCTACAAAAAAAAAGAAACAAATTCTTCACTCTAACCCCATCTTCGATGCAAGCACAGAGACTGAAGAGTTTTATTATTAATGAAATTAAAGTTGCAACACATACATCCACTTCCAGTGAGTGGCTGGCGACGATTATTTTTCTTCTTCCCTTTTTCTCTCTCTCTCTCCCTATATTCTGTCTGTTTCATGTGCTGTTGTCGTGGGTTTTTCACTTCTTGAGGTTTTTTTTATGTATACACATATAAACAAATGTATGCGATGTATATGTGTCTTTTTTTCTTCTCTCGTTTCGCTCAGTTGTTGTTGGATTTTTTCTTCGTTGCTTTTACTGCGAACAAGTTGTAAAATTTGCTGCAATTTTTATTAAAGTAACTGAGTTAGCAATTTCATTTATTCAGAGACGACGGCTCATTCTCATTCTCGAATATGTGTGTTGCCAATATGTGTGTGTGTGTGTGTGTATATGTGGAATCAACGCCACAAAAAGATCGAGAGTGAGCAAATGTACGAGCGAACAAGAGCACGTTCTTGTGTACGCGTCAAATACCAAAAAATAAACACCAAGACGATAACGCACATCAAGCAGAAACGAGAGAAGACGAAGAGAAGAGAGAAAAAAAGCGCATAATTAATTATTATTTGAGAACAACCAACTGTGTTTTAATCAATCTACTTAATGCTGTGATGGTTGGTGTACACAACAATTTCACCCACTGCGCGCTATTCAGTGATGTTGTTAAATACTTCGGTTGACGTTAGCAAAGCGAAAACAAATGCCACGCACACGACGAGCACAGAACAGTAGCAGTGGCAGTAGAATGAGAAGAGAACTAAAAAATAATGTATCATTACACATATTATTTTTATCGCTTCTTATTATTATTATGATTTGTTTTTTCGTCTCTTTTTGGTTTGGTTTGGTTTGGTTCAGTTCGGTTGGGTTCGGGTTCTGTTTTTATTTGGGTGATTATTAAAGGCATTTCATCAAGTATGCATATAACCAAATGATATTGTAAATAAATAATATCGCAAATAAAATGAATTCAAACATGTGACAAGGTAAACAATGAGACATTTCAACCGAAGAGCCGAGCAAAATAAGAAGAAGAAGAAGAAGAAGTAGAAGTAGATGATGAAGAAATAAAATGAAAACACATACGAGAACTCACACACTCTTGCACTCTATAAAGCAAGAGCAAAATGATGAATATAAACAAGTTCACCTACTCACTTGATTATCGGCATCTCGTTCGTATCTTTCTTTCTCTCTCTCTCTCTCGCTCTCGATCTCGCTCTCTCTCTCTCTCTCTCTCTGGAAGTCAAATTCTCGCAGTTGATTTTTCAGCTTAAAACACCGTTAACATATACACGAACATTTACCTAATGTGCACGGGATTACGATTATTCAGCTCCTCGCGATACTTAAATTTTGTTGTTGGTTTTTTCACTCTCTCTCTCTCTCTCTTTCTCACTCTGTATATCGCGTAAATATGTGCTGCTATTGTTAAAATTCTGCTATTATTCTTCACTCGATCCGCTGTTCGTGCTTTTTTCCTAATTTAAGTGTTCCTTATTTGACGAAAACAATAATATTTGTTGCGTGTATATGAATGAGCAAAGCTGACACCACTGCAGCTTGTTGCTTTGCTACTGTGTTCCGTCTTTTACTTGTTACTCCTGATTCTGTTCTGGCAAAATGTATCGTCCGAACGTAAATTTTTTTCTCTTCCTTCCCCTCCTTATTTTAATTTATATATCGTCTTTATGCGTTTTGATTATATTCACACTAATAAAATAGCTTGTTGATTTTTGTTTGATTTGTGTTTTGCTTTTGGAGAGAACGAGTGAACGCGCGCGCGCGCCTTTGCTGCTTTTGTATATATAGTTTGATATTTATGATATATGCTGAGCTGCAAAGGACAGACACGAATCAAAACAAAACAAAACAACCGAAAGAAACGAATTAAATTAACCCACTGAAATTTCCAAAACATACTATCACCACACACACACACACACTCACATACATAAACACCCAATTATCCAAAATGAAATGTGGATAAAGTTGTAAATTTTTGTGTTGGTTCAGGTTGAAGCTTGCTTTAATCAACTTGCTCGTTTGGTGTGTTGTTGCTTTTTTGCTCACATTTGTTAAGCATTCACACATTTCAAATTTCTACCGACACCCATATAGAACAGAACGCGCGAGCAAGAGAAATGAGGAGAAAGAGAAAAACAAACGACCGAAAGGCACAAGAACTTATTTTTTTTTTCATTTGAAATGCACGAGAACATGACGCGACTGTTACCTTCGACAGTTTGAATTTCAAAGTTTTTCACTTTTAATTTGCACTGTGCAAAAATGCTTCTTCGTCGTCTTTGGAAAAATGGAACGATTGTGTTTTTTATTCGTTCGGGACTCGGTATTTTCGTGGTCAATACGAAATAACAAAGCTATAAAATGCCTCCGTTTCTCTCTCTCTCTCTCTCTCTCTCTCTCTATCTTGCTACATACAACTTTTTTATTTTTGTGCATAGCACTCGCGGTGAATAATTTTTGTGTGTGTGAATTATGTGTCCGTGCAACGTGTTTTTCAAGGCAAACTCAAATGCGATTGTGTCAGTTCATAAACAATTTCGATATTTGAATTTGAAGTTGGAAAATACATAGGAATAGAACACAAATGCCAAATATTCCCAGATCTCCTCCAAATGAACGTTACAGGAACAACGACATGAGCAAAATAAAAAATTCTACAATATATGAATGCCAGAAGCAACGAGAAATACCAATTTCGAAATGAAAAATTTACAGCAATCAAGAGAATTGATGTCAAATTAATTAAATGCAAAAAAAAACAAACAGTGCGAATGTGATCATTAAATGCTTAACACAACAAACAAATTGATTAAATTTTCTGTGTTAGACACACGGAATCAAATCGAATTGAATAAAATCGAATTGAATCGAATCAAACACACACACACACATACACACAGGAAAAAACAACTTATAAAAATAATATATATCTATCTCTCAATGGATTTCACGAAATTTACCATTCACACAGCTAGTGGGAACACGCAATGAAAACACAAACACAAGAGAGTGAACGGGCGACGAACGAACGGATCGTAGCAGCGTTTGAAATTGTGAACACCTCAGTTCAGATGTTCGAAATGGACTGAATTTCAAATGGACATTTCATATGGTATTTAGTGGCTAGAAGATTTCAGCATTCAACAGAGGAAAATGAGGAGATGTACGTGTGGCATGGCAGTGCACGGCATGGCTCATCTATATCGTCGCGGTTGCCGTTGTCGTCGTCGTCGTCGTCGTCGTCGTCGTCATCGTCATCGTGCATGTACGCCGTCTGTACACACAGTCTGTGAGTTTTGTTCTGGCTTCGACTTCGCTTGCATACGATACGAAAATTGTTGTTTTTGCTCATGAACGTGTGCTATGTGTAATACATGCCAATAGAAAGAGAGTCTTATAGTCAGTTGTGCTTGTGTTCCATGTTTTTATAAAGCCCAAGTACACACAAAATGCTATAAGCGCTCGTACCGTCTGCGTGTAATCGAATATACAAAAGCCAAATGTACACATGAATTCCGAAACCCGTACACATCGAGCAGCCTCGGCTCAACAATGCTGTCGGTTTGTGTTCTGTTTGATTTGGTACTGTACTGTGCAGCATCGAATCGTTGGCGGGCCAGCATTAATGCTCCATGTGGCATTGCCCAACAAAAACCAGTGGCACAAGATGCGTGCAAAAATTTCTATGGGAATATTTTACATGGGGTTGCGTGTGCTTTTATCCACACACAAGGTACTGAAACACTTAAGCAAATAGAGGCAAAATGTGCAAGCAGCACACAGTCGTTAAGAAAGTCAGGGTTTTTTGTATCGCTCGCTCGCTCTTTCGCTCACTGGCGCTCATCTGTGTATGAACGGGTATGTATATTTGTGTGTGTGTTTGTTTCCGTGTGCGGGACGACCGAGAGTGGTTCATACATAGCGACGTGGAGCAGACGGATGACATCAAATGGAGAAAATACCTATCGAAGACGAAAATGCTTAATGCTGGTGATGGTATATTTTTCATTATATATTTGATACGGTGGCACACGTTACTACACACAGCACAATCATCCAGCTATCGTTGCAGACCGTATTCGCGCTGAAACGTAACGGCATTTTAGTGGGGTTCGAGTTCCGTTTTTTTCCTTCTTGTTCTCTCTTCTGTTGCTTCGGTGTGCTACACTCACGTGAAAAATGCGCAACAAGCGAGTCGTTGAATCCATAACACACACCATCTATCTATCCATCTATCCATCCAGGCCGGGTGCAGGCGCGAGCAAAAAAAAAATTGCAAAAGCTGTGAGAACGAAAGTGTGGCGATTTGGAGCGAACGAGGAGGAGGAACAAGTGCGAGTGAAAGTGGTTAAGTGAAACCGAAAAGAATATACACTTCGAGCACACGACGAGACTGCCAAACCGAGTAGCAGCAGTAGCAACAGCAGCGGCAACAACGTGATGCGCGTTCGGGTGCTTTTCAGCATGCTCAACGAATGAACCATGGTTCTCGATTACAATGTGCTTTGAGTGTGGCATTTTGCCTTGGCGGATTGCATATCATCGCATCGGTTCGCTTCGCATGTCTATATCGTACTACCTCATTCAAAATTCACTGGACGTACCATTTTGCTATTATACATTACGTATATGGGTTTCGTTAAATTTTGAGTGGCGCCGACGCAAAACTGGTAAATCGTATCGTTGTCCACCTGAGAGAGAGAGAGAGAGAGAGAGAGAGAGAGAGAGAGAGAGAGAGAGAGAGAATTGTGTGTGTGCCCAGTGCGCTCAAACAGCAACCACGCTGCGAATCACATTCATCCAAAAACAAAAGCAACGAAACACGCGAGAATGAGAACACACTGCAGCAACAACAAAAAGAGAACCAACAAGAAAAGTAGAAGTAATATTAAAATTTATCTCATAAATGGATATTCCATTGCGAAAAACCATCGCTCGCTTACTCGCCCATTCTTTCGCCTTTATTTTTGGATTAGATGACCGTTATGTTTGCATGAGTGAGCTACAATAGCCAATAATCATGTGCCAAATTGAAACACAGATCAGGTCAGATGTGAATAGATTTGGTTGCGTTGTACTCGTTGATAGAAACCAGTTGCATATCCACCGTAACGCGTCTATAACATATTGATTCGCACGATTGATATGCTGATAGAAATGACCCGCATTCGAATGGTCAACATTTCTAATTGAACCCGTGAGCAACAAAAACGAATTACAAAAAAAATCATCGATCAAAACGTAACATAGATTTGTCGGCGTAACATACCAGTGTACAATTTGTTCCGAATTGAACGAGTAACAAATAGGTGTTTCGCTTTGTTCGGCGACGTTTTTATAAGTCATTTTTGTGCGCACTGGTTCAATTGACATACACACATGGCGAGTGGTTTTGTTTCGTTTTTCATTTCGAGAATTAGATTGGGAAATGCAAAGTGTCCCCCCTGCACGGAAGACCATTGCATAGCACGCACTCTGTGTGACACAATCAATGTTTGGTTTTAGTGTGGTATTCACCTTTACCCAAAAACACATAAATACACAAACACACACATTGACCTCGACATCCAACGAATAAATATATAATTATTCACAAAAGTCACAGTCAAATATAGATGAAGATTTGTCCATATTCAAAATTCATTTGAAATGTAGTTCATTGCAGACCCAATTAAAACTTTGTTTGAATCCTTTGCTAGCCACTTATTTTGGCCAATCAAAAACAGAGATTTCCATTTTGCTGCCAATTTCAAAGTTTCAAATGTGCTATCCATTTATATTTTTTTTCCCCTCATTATTAAATGAGGCGCAAATATTATGCAAAACGCAGTTGTGTATATTCAAGTCGAAAAATTGGAATCCGACACCATTTTGATATCATATCTCCCGAAAATTAATACAAAAATCAATTACACTGTGTTTGGCCGGAAATTAGTTTTTGAAAAGTTTTTGCTCGGCGAGTGAGTGAGGGCGAAATAAAGAGCGATTTTGTTGAAAATTGAAATCGTACAGTCCGAAGGCCTGTGTGACGGAAATACGTTCGATACCGTTGCACCGTTCCAACTCTCGTAAATTAGTCAGTATTTTGTTGTTGCGCTGCTTCCCTTATCGAATGAGAGAAAATCTTTTTCTCTATATCAAAACTGTTATCATGCCATAAATTGATGCTGATTCAGCGGGAAAATATGTAATCTCATGAGAATCAACGATGAAATTGAGTGCCAAACGTTATCGTAAAATGAGTTGAATATTAAATGCGTTCGGTAGCATACGCACAGTAAGTATGGATACTCGGTGTGCTCGAGTATATGTTCAAAATTGAGAGAAATCTAAATATCAACGTTTTTGAAATTGGAAAATTTACCGTGTTGCGTTGAGCGTTGGTGAAATCGATTTGCCATATTCACATTTGATATAAGCCAGAATGAACATTTTAAAAAGAAACTTGCGTTTGAAATTCATTTGATTGTATGAATTTTATGGCGGCAATACGCTACGGCATGCGCAACGCCATCTACCGAAAGTGATGGCAAATTCAATTCACATCTAGTTGTCAAATGAAACCAAACGAATCGTGTCATACAGAAGAACTTCATCACATAGATGACGAAAAAAAAAGTTCGTGCACATATGTTGGCGTTCGAAATATATGTGTCATGTGAGAGAGTGAGAACGACATTTCAAAAGTCAACAATCGAACGAATGAAAAAAGACTTTACTTCCACATCATGTGCATTCTCTCTCTAACACTCTCTCCATCTTTCTGTGCCTCGCTCGCTCTTTGGCTTATGGAACGCAATTTTTGACAGATCACTTGCTGCACGCACACATACATCCACCAATAGATAATCAAAATATTAACTACACATTGGGAAATTGTTTGTATTGACAAGCGGGACTAGCTAAATGTGAAGAAAAACAACAACGAAATGTGAGAGAAACACATTACGGGACACCAGCAAAAAGAAAAAAAATAAATAAGAAGAAGAAGAATCGAAATAAAAACGAATTATAATAAGTTCGGTGTAAAAGCAAACAGAAGAAGAAAAAAAAATAGGCAAAAAACGAGAAAAGTATTTGTTGTGGCTGCTGCTGTCGTCGATTGGTGTGTTTTCATTTGTTTTGTGGCCGATGTAATCGTAATCGCCTCTTCGTATTGGCATTCTCGCCACACACACAGCCAGTCCCATTTCAGTGAGTTTCGATTGATTCGATGGTTTGATTACAGAAGAGAAAAAAAAACATAACAATTCATCACTAGACATCGTTTTATTTGCCCAATTCCATTGCATTCAGTTGGCTGTTTCTGGATTTGACGTTGAATTATTGACAATTTTCTGGAGAAAAAAAAAGACTGCGTACTAATTCCATTGGTCAAACACAATCCAAAACATATTCGTGCATATTTGCTGCAGAGAAAAACAAAACCAATTTCCCTCTCTGTGTTTTTCCCTGTATGTTGTGCAATCGTGTGTGTGGATCGTGTAACATTGCGATTTAACTCGATATCATAGTTTTATTTCATATCAAAAAGGTGAATCGAATTTTTCTTCTTTATTTCGGTGTGTGCTTAGAGACAATAGTGCGGTTTTTGTGGTGTGACATTTCAATGTAACAAAAGGAAAAAAAACCCACACATTTGAGTGGCGCGCGCGAGAGTTAAACATTTGGGCCTATCTTTCATGGTCATGAAACCATTTATTTTGTATTTCAATTAGTGCATTTGATGTTATTTCGGATGCTGATAATATGAATTGCTGGCATCAAAAACCGGAATTACAACCAAAACAAAACATTTGAACAGCAACCACATTTTTATTTTGGTGCAAATCGTAGAAACGTAGCTCGACACGATGCAGAAGTCGATGAGTGGAAAAATAATAACTGAAATCGAAGAGTGTGTACGGAACAATGTAACGTGGCAAAAATTGCCAATACACTTGAAGCAGGTAAACAAATTCAGAAAATTCTTTTTCTCTCGTTTCGTCTTCAGTATTTTGTTTTTTATTGTGTCTGTAATTAGTGGGCCACCGCATCATTCTCACATTCATAATTCAATGGAATGTGTTGAATGAGGAGAGAAAAACGACAAACACACACATTTTGTGTTGTCCGATTTTTTTTTTGTTTGTGTGTTTGTCATTTCGTTGTCGACTCGCCGTTTGAATCGGCCGCGTTAATGTGTGTGTGTGTATATGGTGTGCTCAAGTGCAGCAATTTAATATTGTTCTAGTTTCCTTTCTTTCTCTCTCTCTTTTCTCTCTCTCTCTCTTACCATAAATAACGATGCCGTTGTTCTAAAGACAATGTGTTTGTTTTTCTCGTGCTCGCTATTGTGCATCTGATCGAATGACATACGCAATGTGAAGGCGGGGAAGAAAAATAAGAAATGTCTTTTGATACCATCAAATCACAAAGACACTGCTGACTAACAAAATATAAGGCGCCTTAAAAACAAAGGATTAATGCGAGACCATCATTTGCTCGAGCGTTCAAAATGTCAATAAAATGGAACAAAAGACAGAAAAACACAATGAAATTCGTCGTACGTCATTCACGAAAATTCAAGCAAGCGCCAAGATAAAAGCGACACAAACACACAAAGGATCAAAAGCTGTTAGCACAATGCAATTTACGAAAGCAACCATGAATCAATGTTTACGTTGAAGTGTTCAAAGCTAGAAATGTGCGATGCCGTCACATCGCATTTCGCCATTCGTTTCTCCAAGCACATATTTTCTTCTTTAATCCGGATGTGTGTGATGTTTTCTTTTTGTTGTTTTCACGGCTTTTGGTTGAGTTCAGCTTATTTCCAAAGCCAATGTTATTTCATCGCACCATTTTCACAACAACAACAACGACGACTGTGACAGTGTGGCTGATTGTATTCGCAGGCATTGAGCGAACGTATCAGCCAATTAATCGAGTGTTCGAAATCAATCGATAATACTAAAAGTTCATGTTTGTTTACTGGAAATTGAGTTTTCCTGTTTCGTCATTCTTTGAAATTAGTTTTCAACGTTTTTTGTTCTTCCCTCTCTCCCTCTCTCCCTCTCTCTCTCTCTCTCTCTCTGTGTGTGTGTGTGTGTGCTCGAAATTGTTGAATTCCGGTGTACGGTATCGAATGCAAGCTTAATGCCATACGGCACATTACAAACGTGCATCAGATTGCCATCGTATACAAATAGACTTGTGTCGACAATTTTGTTGTGGTAATTTATTATTAAATATGACATTCAGTGATAGATGATGAAGCAAAATGTCATATCGAAGAGATGCCAAACCAGCGAGAAGTTTGCTGGCTAAATTACTGCTTACTGCGTACATGAAATCGCGTGATACTGCAAACACTGCTGATTTGATTTGTGTGTGTATTTGGATGTGATGTTGTTGTCGTTGGTTCTTTTTTCTCCCTTTATTATTAAATTTGATGAAAGGATGCTTGACTTGAAGCGCACGCGAATCATAATAATAATTACGTTAAACAATAAATATTGCAGTAGTTTTTTTCCGTTTAATAAGTAGCCATTAAGTCTTTATCGGATTATTCAAAATTAATTGCTTTTGGAATTTGAAATCCTTTTTGAGCTCTGCCCGCATCATCGAAATGGCGAAGCTTAATGCTGTTAAATCCAACGTCCATTTTCTATCACTGCAGAATGCTAAATGAGAACAGGGCATATGTGGAAAAACAGCGGGCGCGAGAAAGAGAGAGAGAGAGAGACAAAGAATGAACAGTTAAATTGAATATGCTTGAGAGGGGGCCCGGTCATAAATTAAGTGATTCTCATCTTAAGAGCAATTGAAAACTACTCCAACGCACGATTTGTGGGCGTATTTAATTAGGCTTGATTGCATTACCACGCCCGAATCGCGCGGAGAGCAAACTTTGCCACTTGTCCTACGTGAAAAACACTAATTCCAATAAGCTCCGCAAACAGCCATCCAATTTAAATTTGTGTATGTTTAGCGATTTTTTAGTTATTTGCCAAAATCGGAATCGATTATGGATTTATGCCTCAATCCTTGACTATGGCCGTATTAATGCTATAACGGCGCGATAAAGTGCTATAGGCGCACATAATATACAGCGTCCGAAACCCTCCGCATGAATTATGATAATTTTATTTGTTTCTGTTTGGTTTTCGTGTTCCTCATGCCCCATTTCAATAAATTGTGTTTTTTGTGTATATGCTACTTAAATGGTTGATATACATTTTCTTCTGTGCTCTTCTCATCCTCAACTTAGGTCCTGAAAAGTTCAGAGAAAGATTACGAACGATTGTTGTTCAATTACAGTTTGAAAAATCAGCTGCGATTCAAGGGAAATCTAGGTAAGTTATTTACTCGACAAGAAATTGTCTTACATTAATCTCATGCACCGTAATGTTGCAAATGATGAGTTCTTCTTGTTATTGTTGCCGCTTATTTTAATGCAAATTATTTGTTATTGCTGCTGTTGCTGTTGTTATTCAGCGTTTTTTGTTTTCATTCGATTCTCTGTCAATCAAATGACAACATACATACTAAAAAAAATTCGAAGGGTACGTTTACATTTTGATGCGATATCAATTTGTGCCAGTGTTGAAACAAGAAAAAATAAAGTCACGCCGCGCGCGCACTTGTTCGCATCAAAAAAGTTACATCTTGAGCAAGTCTCATGTAGCAAGGTTGCACCACATAGCAAAAGCTGTGCTGATCTCTCTCGCTCTTCCATTTTGTAAAATGTCAGCACGTTCTCGTGTTTGTCAAGCTTTTATCATGTTCTCCTATGCCGAGTGATAAGATAACAAACATGAAATTCGTACGTTGAACAAGCCGGACTATAGCTCTCGCGCATTTCTAACCAAAGTAAAAAACAAAAAACAAACACAAACCATCACAAACATCATGTAGAATGGGATTGAAACAGACAAAAAAATTGTTGTAAAAAGCGTTAGAAGTGCGACTCAACAAGAAAAAGAGATGTCCGATTAAAAAACAGTAACAAAATTGACATTTAATTCAATTTGATATTTATAAACAGCGACTACATGTGAAATAGAGCTACAACAAAAACAACGAAAAATGATTTAAACGAATGACCTACGAATGATGATTTTTTCTCGATCTCTGTCCCCTGCATACATCTCCCCAATGTGACTTTTTGCTGCTGCCATTCAACCATATCTCAATTTGTTTCCATTACGCAAATAATAATTCGCTTTTTTTCTCGTTTGTTTGTGTTTTTTCCCCATTCGCTAATCTGATGCATTCCTTAATGTGCGTAATCTCTCATGCCCTACCCTTTTGCGGATTGATGGAAATGGAACGGAATATACAAACAAAAACAGTGCGACAAGTATTTCGTAATGAGCAACGATACTATGAACTGCTGGTGGACAAAAGTGTTACGTGCTTGTGCCTATTTCCATATCATTTAGCCGATATCATAACAAAGGGATTGCGTGTTACACCATTTAATTACTACATTGATGTACTCTGCTACTTACTCAAAAATGACCGAAGCTATGACACTCTACCAAATTTCACAGCCGCCGATTGTACGTAAACACAGAGTATTATCGTTTTTTTGTGTGTATATTTACTATTTGCATTTATTTTTAACGCACTCTTGATCTCCCTATTTTCCATTCTAATCGACTGAATGGAAATATGAATCATATTGTGTGAATGAAATCAAATGACGCCTTTTACATAACAACATCTTTTTTTTCATCTTCAATTTTTGTTTGTGTCTCGCGCATTCAATTTCTAGGCCTTCGAGTTCTTGGCATCGGACGAAATGAATACTTGGCGCTAATCAGTGAATTGAAAACAAATTCCACGAAATTATTCCGGAAGCCGAATCCATTGAATTTTTTGCCGAAATTTCCCGTCCGCATCAACATTGAACCATGGTGGAAAGTTGAAATTGGATACGTACTTGAGAGCGATGTCAAAGTATGATCAAAATATATTCAATTCTTAATCAATTTTCTTTAAATCCCATATAAAAAAAAGTACATATTTTCCTGTTCGCTTTTCTTCCAGTATATAAATGCGCCCGAAATAAGTGTTATCGATGATTTAATTGATTTTGGTTCGTTAACGGCTGGTAAATTGGATCATGAGGTACTGCAAAGTCTTTATCGAAAGGGCCTTATCTATTTGGATGTACCGATCAGCGGGTCGGATCAAATATGCATTCCACCGTTACGAAACTTTGTGATGAATCGTGTGAGTGGTGATTATTTCGAAAATTTACTGTACCAAATTTTCGTGTCAGCTGACGAGCACACAACCATTGCCGAATTGGCACAAATGCTACAAATCAATTTGGACACCGTAAAGCAGGCGGTGTCACTGTTTTGTCGATTAGGTTTTGCGCGCAAAAAAACTAACATCGACATACTAAATCAGCATCAAAGTTGGAATGATCGAACCATTGACAATAATCGCGTCGAAGTGACACCGTTGAATTTTCATGCGTTGCTCGTCAACGAAACCAATACCGGTCTAGTCAATAGCAATGGCGAAGCGGTGGCGGGCAGTGAAACGATGGGCAACACATCGTCACTGAACTCATCACCCAAATGCCAATCAACCAGTAGCAATCAAATTCAATCGATCGTCAATAATGATTCAACATCAAGTCCAGCCTCAGCAAAGCAAACATCACAATCCGAAGGTGTTAGCAATTCAAATGAATCGGATGGTAATATTAGTGATTTTTCAATAATAAGTCAAGTGCACGATTCAAATGGTAAATCAACGAAGAAAATGACGACATCGGACAGTCCAAACGATAGCGGTGAATTGGATGACAATTTGAATCAATCGGAAAAAGCATCGATTTTAGCATCACCAACAACACCAAATGTCGTTCGACGTGGCGGCAACGGTAAACGGGTTCTATTCTTGTTTGATGCCACGTTAACTGCCTTTCTTATGATGGGAAACCTTTCGCCGGTAAGTTTTGATTTCGATTCATATTCGCTTTGACGTCAAAATTTCATTCGACTCATGGAGAAATTAACAATCTTCATTCAAACGGAAAACTTGAAATTTTAATTTATGTCTTCATGTTTAGGGCCTAAAAAATCACGCCGTCACCATGTTCGAGGTGGGTAAACTGTGCGACGAGAGTCTCGATTCATTTCTGGGCGAATTGGAAAAGGTTTCACTTCTCGATGCCGAGGGCGAAGGAGAAGTTTCTCGCTATTTTGCACATGCTGTAAGTTCCACATGTAGTTCAACGAATATGTAGTTCATCATTTAATGATGCTAATTGAATTGTTTCTCTTACAATCACAAGGTGATTTTGCGCTCAACGATTATCGCTTTGCGAAATGTTCTTGAGGCTGGAATTGATTTGTTGCGACTCGAGTGCTTGGAAAGTTTGGACCACAAAACGCGTGATCGACTTCTTGACAAGAAGTACAAGTTAGTATTGTCACCAGCACCTTCGTAATTGTCTACTTACCCATTATGTTCTTCTTTATTCCGATCTGAACATGAATAGATTCATTATATCAGCGGCGCCGTTGACAAGCATGATTACAAATATATTTGCCATTCCATTTTTTGGACAATTTTTCAAAAGTTCCGACAATTCGCATATTTGGTCGAAACTATTTTATTATCACATGTCTGGCTATGGTCCACCAAGCCTACTACTTACAAAAGGTGAAGACATTTTTTTTTTCTTCAAAAATAAACTGCTATTTAATTAGATCGTCAAACAAAAATGTTTGTTTCGAACAACAATAGGTACTGTGCTGAAATCGTTGCCAAAATTCTTTTTGGGCTATGGAAAGCTACTAGTCACAATTGTTCATACCGATTCATATGTAATAAATTCGGAGAATTTCAAGAATCTAAACGATCAACTGAAAAATGGATGCGTTTTAGTCCAAGGTTATGGCATTCGAAATCCAGCTACCGTGCATTATGAGGCGTTCCCATTTAGCTATTCAGGTTGGTTTATCACATGGAATTGCTAGATTCTATAGGATTTCGCTTTGCAACAATCAATTTGAAAATAATTTTTTTAAAGCGGATGAAAATAGAAAAAAAAAAATGATTTCAAAACCATTGTTGTACTCTTCTAGATCCGACCAAACAAAAGTGGATGAATCACAAGGGTGTGCAAAAGCTTGAGGAGGTGTTGAATTTGAAAGAGACTTGTGGTTACATTACATTTGTGAATACCGGCGTGCCCGATATCGGGTGTGAACAGTACGATATGAATGTACATTTAGTGAAACCAAAACGATCGAGCACAAAGGCTCGACGCTCTTCACAAACACCAGCCGTTGTACAGCTACCAAATACCGATTACATTGTAAGTTTTTTTAGCTCATTATACTTTTTTTTTCTCGATTAAAAATCTGAAATCTCTATATATTTAAAAATCAATTAATATTTTGAATATCAAATGTGTAGCCAAATCCAGCGGCAAAGAATCTAGCTGAGCTAGCATCACCGATGGATGGTTCCGAGATCACAAGCTTTAATATTGCCAAAAATTTGCCGAATCTATCATTAAAATCGCCGGACGAGAATCACTTTGCCATTACACCGCAGAATCAGCCGCCGGCCAATGTCTATCGAAGCGATGATTGCAACGAAATACTTGCCAAAGAGTTGGAACAACTGAACGAACCTAAAACCGGCGATCGGTCACCGGACGATAGTGAACGTTGCCATTTGGTTTCACAATCGTCCATCGAAATTGAGATTTGTGACACGGACAAAAACGATGATTTAAACTCGATTCAAGAGGAACCCGAATCCATTGGAGAGGTACATTTTTCGGCAAAAAAAAAACAAATCAAGAGTAATGAAATTTAATTTTTTCCACTATTAGGAATGGACAATTTTGGATGTTCATTTCGGTGTTCCTCTGTTCGACATCGATTGCAATACGAGAATTTGCGAAAATTTAGTCAAAAACTTATGCGATGATCGAATGTAAGTGAATCAAATAAGCCTCCTATATTTCAATGAATTATGAATTTCTCTCCTTCATTTTGTCAGATTGGAGAAATTGCCTGCCATCAATGATGTGATGAACAAAAAATTCTTGAAATTCGTGTCACAATGTCTGGTAGGTCACACACTTTGCATCGAATTCATTTGCTTCTTTTTTTTTACTTTTTTTTGTACACTTTCAGCACTTCGAAAATGAGAATATGGAACAAGTGAAATTCGGCAAACTTTTGCCACCACCTCGGATCAATTTGTGCTTTGAAAATGGCAAAGTTTGCTATTGGAAATGAAAACAATGTTTTGTTTTTTTTACTAAATTATTCGATTAAAATAGTGCTCAAAGAATTTTACATTGTTATTGAATCTGATTGGAAGATGTTTGGTGGGAATGAATAACGCTAGAGGTGCAAGACCAAAGAAGACGATGAACGGCATTTAAATGTCAAAATTTATTTATTTTTTTGTTTCATCGCAATCCATTCCAAAAAAAAATAACGCAAATAATTTTATTTTTTATGAAGTTTATTAATTTTTTTTTTTTTCGTTTTTATTTTGAAATTGTGATCGAATTTTTGCGTTTGAAAAAAAGAAAGAAAGAAATTCCAATTTCATTTGCAAAGTCTTCTTTTTCCTAAGCAATTTTATGGACATTTATTGATTAATGTAGACAAAACCACGTATTTTAGACGAACTGACATAAATGAAACATTTCCAGTGCGATTGTTTGCTATTGCCAAGCGCATGTTTCATTATTACAGAGAAAGAGAGAAATTAAGTTTGAAAAACAAATGAAAATACAGAAGACACAAAATGTACACAAATATCAAACGAATCAAAATAAATACGTTCAGATGAAATGTACTTAAAACAAATTTTGGAGATTTTTTCATTCAATTTGTTACTATAATTTTAGTTAGAGCATATTTTCTTAATTCAGTAAATAAAATAAAGTACGATAAAGGTGAAAAAAATGGAAAAAGATGGCAAAAATAGGTGATTGTTCTTCGATCGGAATATCTTTGCTTGGATCGAAGTGATGATGTGATTTTAATTCTTGATGGTTGTAAGTATATACCGAAACTCTGGGTTTCCGTTTGGTATCGTTGAATTTGACAAAATGTCAAATTCCAAGGAAGAAACTGTTAGTTTGTCTGTTTTTTTCACTTTATCTCAGTTTGTCAGTTATTCCATCTTCTCGGTGATCAAGATGCGGCAATAAAACGAATTTTCCTTGATGATAATCAAAGTAAAATTTTCATAAAAAAAGTTGAATCTTTTGTCATCGCAATCAATGATGACGACCTTGATTTTACCTAAGCGGAGGCCACTTCAAATACCGTGTTAATTTTCGTGAAATGGCCGGTAATTTAATCATTCAATTTCACAATGGATTAAAATGTTTTAATGGAATCGATGCAGTTGAATAAATGCAATTACTTACCCGGTAAAATCAGTGTATCAACCATAAAATGTACCAACCAGTTGTACCCATTATTCGCAAAACAAAGACGTTCAATTTTCTACTTATATATAGTACATGTTTTTTAATGTGGTTTTTCATTTTATTTATGTGGAACATTCTTTGCAAATATTTACATCAATCTGATAAGTTGGTTCAAAATGTTCAAAATAAAATGGTATTTGATCGGAACAATAAAGAAATGAATGCTGATGTGAACATTTGCATGCTCTTAAGCCATTACGCCAATAAATTTTGGTAGTTTAAATGTTTGCAGGAATTGTATGTGTTGTTGAATTTTTTTTTTCATTCTTTTTCGCATCATATATTGACTTTCATTTGATATTTTAATGTGTACAGTTTAACATGTTTCAATAATTACACGATTATTATATATTATTTAACTAAACGACTAATTAAATCCAATCAACCCCAAAATGCCACGGGAGAACAACCGAATATAAAAAAATAGCTAATGATTGAATCGGATATTGGATTGATTCACACTGATTCATTTTAAATTTTCTCCAAACGATTGTTCTCTGGATAATACACCATTTGATTTTTCAGCGATCGCCTTTTGGAATGAGCAGTTTCATTTGAATTTGAAGATGCAAATCATTGTCGCGTGTGTGATATGTTTGTGTGTGAGATCATGTGAGCGAAGAAAAAAAGCGCAGAATTTTGGTTAGAAATACTTTTTGTTCGATTACATCGATTTCGAGTGGATCACTTGAGACACCTTTTACACACAAAAACAAAGTGACCAAACACTGATGGGTTTTATGATGGATTTGTTGGTCGTACAAACACGGCATTGATTCGCCCTAGCTATTTTTTTTTCTTAGGCATTTTGGCTCTGCTCGTAAATTATTAAATTTTTGTTGTTGTTGTTGTTGTTTTTTATTTGTTGAAAAGAAACATTATGATTGAACTGGTTTTTTGAATTGTGCTGAACAAATCAAATAAAAACTAGACATTTTTTTATGTGTTGTTGATGTTGTATTAAAATGCTTAGATTTTGTCGCCCATTTTAATTCTTGATGTCATATAAATGCCGACAATCAAACCGAACAAACCAATGGCTGATCCGAAAATTTCGACAATCAAAATTTTCACAAACAAATTTGGATTGGCTGCATCAGCTAAGGCCGCACCAGAGCCAACCACACCGACCGCATAGCCGCAGAACAAATTCACCAAACCAACAGCCAATCCGGAACCGAACATCAAGTAACCACCGGTCCAATTGTTATAGTAAATCTGTTGTGAATTGGGATCCGAATTGATGGAGCCCAAATGGAATTCTTCCATGCTGCCCGTCAATACGATGGCCGTGATTAAACCGTAAATGGCAACAGCCTCACAGAAAATGACGGAGATGAGATTTTTCGTTTTAATACGGGGTGCCTTCACACCGCCACCAATAATGCTAACGCCAGTCGTGTAAATGCCCATGGCAGCACCGACCACCGACAATGCAACAGCCATTGCAATACCAATTGAGGCCCACATATAGGGCGATGTTTCGCTCAAAAACCAGGCAACACTGACACGTTCACCTTTTCCCGTCAGCACATGATACAATATTAGAATTGTTGACACTGAGAGCAGCGTTGCTCCAAACGAATATCCTAATATGTAACGCATTTTGGATCGGCTTTTATGTGGTCTTTTCTCTGCCTATCAATATTAGTCACTCGAAAGCTGGCTTTGATGTCTTGTTCTTTTTTTTTTACGGTCAAACTGTTGAGAAAAACATATATTTTATGCGATTAAAAATTGCGTTGGCATCAATTCACTGGGCAAATCAATTTAAAATCATTAAATTCATTAATATTTACCTAATTTCCGATGATTTTACTACCGAAAATATCAATATTTGATGGACTGGTAATGATTTTTGTGGCGACCGTAGTTGAAAATGAAAAACCTTCTTATGTTATTTCATGTGACAGCAGCAAAACGATACGAAAATCATGTGATGAGATTGCGCACAATACAAACAAACCATTTCTTTGATGGTGTTGGTGCGGCAGAAGCGCCATCATTGCTGTCAACGACCAAGTGTCAAACATTTGAATGGAGCATAAATGAATGTTAAAGATAACGTACCGTCTCCATTTCACAATGGAAATGGGCCAACGCGTCTCATCAATCATTTCATCAGATTTTTATTTTTCAAGTTTGAATCAATCGAATTAGAAATGAAAGAAATGAGACATAATTGATTTGAATAGATCGAACGTATGGCCAAAAAAAAATATTATTCGTTTGATTTTTGGCTAAATTAAAACACATTTTCCCAATTTTCACATTAAATAAAAAAAAATTGTATTTATTTTCTAAAATAAAGTTTGACTTTAAATTGATGCTCAGTTCCGATAAGGTAGTTTTGATAATGCTTAAATCGACTCAATATTTCTTTTATTTTTTTTTCTCTTTCGCTTAAGAAAAACACAATTCATTACAAACAGTATTTTATCTACAAAGGTCTTTTAAAAACCCGATTATTATGTTCATCGTTTACAACGCCTGCATTTTCTACAAATTATTTCTCTATTATTTTTGTTTTTTTTTTACAATAATTTCGTTTTCATGTTTCCTTTCATTTTTATCGGTAGTAACAGTTTTGATTGAAGAGAGAGAGAGATGACAAGTCAAATTATCACGACTGAAGGAGTATTGTTTTTACTTTATCATTCAATTCCATTTCATTTATAAAATTCTACATTTCTTCAGCACAGCTTTTCGACGTGATGCTTTCTTCGACGGTCTCAAAATTATTGTCCCCTTTGACTTCGTAAATGTCGGACTAAACGCACCTGTGTGGAAAAAATACAACAGAGAAATGTTGAGAATGATGAATAACTTAATCGATGAAATTATGAAAAAAAAACAATATGTGTGAATTGGACGTACTAATTTGTGGTTGTCCAACTGGCACTACATTGTATTGTTGCATCATAATTTGATGACATTTCGTTGCTAAGTAGCGAAAAACAGACGATACATTTACATCCTCTTTCACCGATGTCCGAATGAGGCGGCATCCTAAATTTCTTGCCAATTGATCAACTTCCTCACTGAAAGAAAAAAAAACAATCAGAAACCCAAACATGTTTAGAGTCGAAGTTTATTAGCTAATGGCCATGGATGGACGGTGCAATACTCACGGTGAAACGACGGCTTGATCCATTAGATCGATTTTATTCTGAACAATCACGGTTGGAATTTCACTGCATTCATTTTCAACCTGAAAATTACACGAATTCGATATCATCCGTAAATATTGATTTCGAAAGTTAAAAATTAATAAAAATAAATTTTATCAAAGACATGGGTGTGCTATCATTTTTAGTGGCAGTTAACGATTGTAAAACATTTTGTATTATCATTGATTGTATTTTGTGTGTGAAAAGAGTTTATGATTCTTCAAGAGCATTGGAATATTCCGGATAAAAATGAACTTGTACATTTCTACAGTCCACTGCTGTACCACCGAGCTATCGAAGATGATGCTTACTGCTTACATCGGCAAAGTGTTCACCATTTCGTTGATAAGATGAGATAAGAACCGAAAACCGGTACCATGATGAAATCAATACACCTTTCTCTTTGTTCACCGAAACACATACGTGCCGAATATTGAATTGTTCGCTGTGAATTTGACACAGATTTTGACAAAAGTAATTCGAAGATCGGCCTTCGTTTTTGACATTACCTCAAAAATGCAATTCTTCATTGAAAGAGTAATGTATGAGACCGATGTTCAATCGTTATAGAATATGTAATAGCAATTTTAGAAACAATACTATCGATCGTCGAGTTAATTCTAAAAATATGTAAATTCGTTGCAAGTAAATAAAAATCTATAAAATTAACACAGTATCATTTCGTATCAAGAACAAATCATCTCCTCAACTGTGGAACACAGGACCGATGGATATCAATTTCCACATTCAACAGTCTACCGCATATATGCTATCGCCAATGTTGTGCCATAGCTTTAGAAGTAAAGCGCGCATCGATAAGGAATGCAAAATCAGTACGAAAAAATGAGTTCGAGAACCTTTCACTTTGAATGAATGTGCGATAAATTGGAAGCGCGCGCGAATGAATGTGTGCGTGTTATCAGCGTTGTTTTGTTTTCGTTACTTGGGTGCAGCCAAGCACAAAAAAACAGAAACATTGATAAGTGGTGGACTTTTCAGTTGAATCGTCTGAATCGATGCTAATTTTTGCCGTTTTTTACCTTCATCTTCCATTCTTTGACTGCTTCAAATGACATTCGATCAGTTGTGCTAAACGCCAAAACACATGCCTGAGCACCACGGTAATAAGCTTTGGTAATTGCATCAAACTCTTCTTGACCTGCGAATGGAGAATAATATGAAATTAGTCGATGACTCGAGGCGATCAGTAGGAAGCGAGCGAGAGAGAGAGTGAATGTTTGCCACATACCAGCTGTATCCCATAACATAACACGAATGTCTTCACCATCAATTCTGCAACGAAATTTAACGAATATCAATCACATATATGCAAATTGCAGCTCATTTAATTTAATTCCCTGTTTTTGCACATCAATTTTCGAAAAACGCATAAATACACTTACTCTATTTGTCTTTCTAAGAAGTCAACGCCTATGGTTTTTTTGTAGTCCTTTGTATAAATTCCTTTGCAGTAACGTTGGATCATTGAGCTCTTTCCAACGCCTCCATTGCCCACAATGACAACCTGTTTAGGAACAATATCGTCAGAAATGATCAGTGCCATTGGCCAAAACGAAATAAAAATTCGAAAAAGTTCTTTTTATCATGAATTTATTGCATGTTTAATTCAATTAACTCCTCCGATTCACATTCATTTCAATAATCAAATGCAATGAATGAGCTTGTTTCTTTTTCTCTGTTTTCTGGTGAAAATTTTCTTTTTCCCAAAATCCATTGTCATTTATTAAAATGCAAGAAAATTTTCAAATGATTTCTGAACCGCTGCTGTTGCATCTGCTCCAGAAATGTGTCGGGTTAAAAACTTGTAAAATATGTTCTTTTTCCATACCTTAATTGCTATCTCTAGTTCTTCTTCTCTCATTATGTTATTGTTTGTTGTTATTGTTGAACTTCGGTTGCTTTTAAATTATTTTATCTATTTCGTTGCTGCTGCCGCTGCTGCTGTTTTTTCGTTTTCGTCGTCTAATTCTTTGCTCTTCGTGCGTCTGGTAAGTTTCTTCGGGGTCTAATTAAAAATTTGACTGTGGAAAAATATCGTAGAGAGAGCAAACAAAAATCCACGCTGGTGCGGAATCGCAATGATGACGATGATCGCGCGCGCGAAAGAGCGAGTTATGTATGTGAGCACTGAGTAGCGTTGTAGTTGCGTTTTGGTATGAGTGTGTGTGTGTGTGTGTGTGTGCAACGGATTCACTTCTTCAAACGTTCATTCAAATTCAATTCATTCATTCAACGAAATCTATTTTGTAGGGTAATTCGAGGGTATGTTTTTTTGTTTCTTCTGTTTTGTTTCTGCGTCTTTACATTTAAACTCTGCACCTAAATACATAGACACATTGCACAAATGATAATAGAAACATTCTTTGCTCTCTATGTTTTTGCATCGACGTCGAACAAATGAATCGGTGTGTGTGCACATGCACATTCACATTCACATTTACATGGTAAACCAAACAGCACTGAACAAAAATCACTATGGTACACCGATGTCTCCACATCTATTCACTCTGTCTTTCATTCAGTTGTTAGTGCTTAGGCATGTATAATTTTAAGTGATTGCATGCAAACGTCTTGTTTTTGTTGTCTCGCCACCCAACATATGATTTTCACACTGCATCTGAAATTACACAAAGAATACCAAAGAATGAATAAAAAAAAAAGAAATTTTAAATCGTCATTTTTATGTTTTTTTTTTCCTTCTTCTTCTTTCTTTTTCTTCTGTTTTTTTTTTTCAATTTGAAACCATTAAAAAGCATAAAAAAATGAGACAAAAGAAAAAAAGAGAGTAAAAATTGGCTATGACGTGGATTCAATTTGTCAAAACGGCCACAAGGAGAGAATTCCACATATTTGTTGGTTTTCTTTCGTTCGCCTTGTTAGCAACACGCGTTAACTCGTAGTTGATGCGTGGGATTCCGCTTGAAATTCCATATGAAGCCACCATTCATAGACCGTTTTTTTTTTCAATTATAATGAGTGAGAACATTGCGGTTTTGACATTCGAAGTCAAAACAATTTGTCAAATGTCTTTATCATTCGCACGAATTGAACCCATTGAATATGTATGTCTGTGGTGAGCATCCAAATGCTGCATAGCATTCATTTCACTGCTGGGCAAATCAAACGAGTCAATTTCATCAGAAGCATTTCTTCGGTATTAATTTCATTCTATTCTTTCGTTTGTTGTTTGTTAAGCGTGTTTCTTTTAGCTGCTACGATTCAGTGGTTGGAAAGAAATGCCGTTAATTAATTTCTATGGACATAATGTCGTTGATCCTTTAATGGGGCATTTTTATTGTCAAAAAATTGAAATATTGAGAGAATCAATAAGAAACCGTGAAAAAAAAACGAAAAGAACATCACCGTTTTGATCATAAACTTTTTACCGATTAAATCGTTGGCAAGTCAGCGATCGTAAACGGGCTATGTATGATATGCGGTGTATGTGCTGACAGCCAACCAAAGGTTCATAGGCGATGGCGTGCAAACACACGCGAATTATTGACTAAAAAGAAAAACCAATAGAATGATCGCATATGAATGCTTGCGGTATAATTATTATATGGGATCGTTGAGAGTGTGAAACCACAAGTGGCTCGTTAGCTGTGTGTGTGCGAGCGCGTGTAATGAAAATTGAGATGGCGCACTTTGGTTGCGCTGGCAATTTTTCTGCAATTCGACAAACCTTTTGACTTTTTAATATTATTTGTAGATTAGTTTATGGTGATTATGGCCATGACATTTGGAATTTCTCTTTTTTTTGTACGGTCATTAAAAGCCTGTGTCTATTGCATTTTCCTTGCTGCAACTACACAGATAGAACACAGAGAGGAAGAAAGCACCATATCCATACCGTCTAAACGTTGTATGCATTTTCTAGGAAATTGTTTTGGAAATTGGCGAATGGCACCACAGGCAATGGCCTTAGTTACAATTTTATGCGAATAATAAAAATATCGACAGTTATTCGCCTTTTAAAAACATTGTAAACGATCATAGATAGATATCGAATAATTTCGTTGTTGTTTTTATTTCTTCACTGCATTTTATGTTGCAATCAATGAGACTTGCCGCATTCAAAACGACCCAACGATCGTAGGCATAAACAAAGCACATTCGCACAGAACTCGTTTGTGCACCAAAACTTGTACACGTTCCATTGTTTTACATCATTATGTCGTACGGATGGCAGTTCCAACGCTTGGCATAGGTGAGCGCACACCGCACATGCAACATACGCGCCAGCTGTTCTATAATTACCGAGTGCTACTCTCGGTATGCTTCATCATTTTTTTTCGGTTTTTTTCTCTTGCTCTTTCTATCTCCTTCTCAACGCAAGTTAATTTCTATGAGCCTAGAGATATCCTCGTCTAATATCATTGATTTTACATGAAAAAAACAACAAGAAACGACAAAAGTGACCTCTCGTAGCGGCACAGTTGAAACTAACGAAACAAACACAATTGAACATGTCATTTTCATGTGCAGTGTTGGTTCTGTTGTTTGCCGTATAGCCGGAGAGAGATATCTACAGCTTAGTGGTGTTGAATGACATTCAACACCCATGCCTAGAGATCACCATCTTTGATGGCCGCTTGTTGTTCGTGCTTATCTTAATGGCTCAACTTATCGACTGCGTGAGCATTTTACTCGATCTTGGAAAAGAAATTAGGCGAAAAAACTGGGCATCCATCGTTTTGATTTCAAGATGAATGTTCTTGTCAGACACTGACATGAAAGATCGTGTGCCCAAGTCTGATGCGCGTCAACACGTGGCTCCGGCTCCAAATTCTTAATTAAAGCCAAATATTTTGATGGCGTCGAGACGTGATGTGAACACTGCCTATCACTTGTTTGCGATCTCTTTCTTATTTTAATTAATTAACATTCTACGTCTGTTGGCAAGGGGGAGAGTTCTTCTTCTTGTTTATCTTCAACACTTTTTACTGCGAACATATAGAGAGATTTGTCACATTCAATCGCATGCCAATCTTAATCTCGAAATACGTTTAATGCACACATTTTCACATTTTCTGCGATAAAATCGTGTCATCATCTCGACTTAGATTGTAAAACGTATAAATCAATTAGCCAAATGCAAATTACACCGATTCTATGTGCTGAGACACTTTGAAAACAAGTATCAATTCATTGCAATGATTCTGTCTCTCTTCTTCTTCTCTCTCTCTCTCTCTCTATCCTTCTCTCTTTCACTCGCGTTGACAGTAATAGCAGGAAGAAGAAGAGGCGAACAGAGGTGGGAATAAAAGAAGAACCCAGACATTAAACAAAGTGCCAGAAGACTGACCATTGTAACCAGCATAATATTCACAGAATAATTTGTTTGAATAGCTATCGACTATAAAACAACCCAACAAAAAAATTTAAAACTGTTATTCGACGCGCTCGGCTCTTTTTTCTTTATTTCGTTGTTCGGATACTCGTATGGGTTTAAACATTCATCGTCATCGTCATTTATAATCTTCATGTTTCACATTCAGAAAAAAAGAATGAAAACAGCGATTGCTGTCGAGTGAGAAAAAAAGAACAAGATTTTGGATCAGGTGTTGAAACGTTATTTGGAGATTCTCTTGTTCTGGAAAAAAATATATTTAATACTTAAAACATTTGTCTCCCCATTGCTGGTGTAAAGTGTAAGCGGGAAAAAATCGTCTTTTCATTCAGTCGACATAACAAACAAACAAATGATGAAATAAATGTCTGAACTTAGTCCCAAATGAATTGGGATTTTATTAAAACATTTCTATCGCCTAATGAACCAACAAAAACACACACGCACACGCACACAAATCGACGCAACGATTTGACAAATGAAATGTGATTATTGTTGACATTGTTGTTCGGCTCATATGTTAATGGCAACATTTCAGACGCATCAAACGACCGCAGCAAAAGAGAGGAAAGCACACCGAGTGAAACAATTTCTCATTAGTTCAGTGTGTGAGTGTGTGCGATTCCCATTATGAGAGAGTTGATTCAGACTCGACTCAGGGAATTCATTCTTGGCTTTGCACTTCACTCCAATTGAAATGAATTCACGTAACACAAAGAATAGAAAATCGTTTTTTCTTGCTGAAAACTACACAGGGAATGAATAGCTGAGATTATACATGGAAACATGCTCACAAATGATTCCACACACTGGTGAAAAAGTGTGTGTGTGCGCTTACAAACAACGATGAAGATGATGACGACGACGACGACGACGACGACGACACCGACAAATGTTAAACAAATAAATCCAAAATGATCATCGCGATTCACACAGGTGAAATAAGAGCATCGAAAGGTTCATAAATTGTGTGTGCGCAACGGCCAACATTCAACATTAGTCTTTCTCTCTCTCTCTCTCTCTCTCTCTCTCTCACTCTTTCGGTTCTTGTTTGCGAATCGGAGTAAACCGAAACAAATAAATGCATGTCATGGTTTGCCGGCAATCACATATAGTTTTATTTGCTATTCCTTCTTTTGCTTGACTCACTTCAACGTGTGGAACAAATGAGCTTTGAATTTTTCGACCGAGAACTGGAAAGAAATTGGCTCATGAGTAAATGGCAATTTTTTTTTCATTCTTCTTGAATTGACCTGTTGACTTGCACAAAGAGCGATTGCACAAGCTACGTGTTTGTCTCTCGTGCGAAAATGTGTGGTAGTCAAATTGAGCTCTCATTGAATGAAATAGACAAAAAAGAGCAGAAGAAAAGACCAAGTCGTAGGTACAAAGCAAAAACACCAAAAATGGAAAAGAACAAAATGTGAATGACAATAAAACGTGAACAAACAATGAACACGGCAACAATTAACGCCCGAATCCAATGCTGTATCGAAATGAAGAGGTTTTTTTTTCCCATTGATTCAATCAGTTCGGGTCGTGTCATTTAGCATGTTGTTTATGTGAAAATCCAAAAGAAAACAACAAAAATAGATTCCATCGAAAATATGGCGTAAATGACTGAATGAGAGAAAAGTGGGTAATTGCATGAAACCGCTTATTAAAGAAAAAAAAGTCGTTTATATATTCGAATCAATAATCTCTTTTTTTATGTGTACGAGATTCGAGAGAAATGTGATTCTACGTGAACGGAATTCGTTTAGCATAAAATTGCGAATGAAACGAAGCGAAAAAAAATCGGCTTAAAAATTAAACAAAATGATTAACTTTAAAAGCTTTGCATTTGACACATCTCGTTTATTATACCTAATCGTCACTTCCATGTCACAGCAGTGTTGATACTTTTTTGTTCGCTCATGTTTGTGAAAAAAGGGGAATTTTCATAAATTTTCAAATGCTCGCAAGAGATGTTAACTGATTTAATCTATGATCTACATCCCAACAGAGGAAATAAAAAACTTGACGTTTATCCATTTAATTATATATGAATGTGGGTATGTCTTTTCGTCGCACTGAGTAAATGTGAGATGAAGAAGACCAGGTGGATTGGCCAACTTGAGCACATAACTGCATATTAAATTGGGCGGCATATTTATATGTATTTTTCTTTTAATGGCTATTACATTCCTGTTCTGATTCTGATTAAATGGGCATTTCATCCAAATTAAATGTTTTCTCTTTCGGTTTAAAACAAATCATATGGGTTTTTCATCCAAAAATAAAACTTGACCCAATTCCCGTGCATCTTTTACGATTTTTCATTCGTGTTCATTTCATCAAGAGTACAAGCCATTTCGTGCTAATCGTGACATTTTTTTTAGTAGCCAATTTCCGTCCAAATCTTAATTGGGTATTGACATACGCGGCACACCGATAAAAAAAAACAATTTTTTTTTCGTTCCTTCGTTCGTTTTGACTTCGTTTGAGAAATCCAGAGATGCCGTAAAGGTTGTTACGTTGTTGCATTCGAATAATGACTGAGAAGTCTCCGCCGGTCTCAAGGCATTGATTATGTGGTACATTTAAATGACTTTCATTTGTCCACAACTGGGACTGGCTTTGTTTGTAAGCTCCATTAACGGAATGAGCTTATCATTATACATATGCCAGTACCAATATTCTTTTCTTTATTAATATGAGGAGGCAATATTGTGATTGAACCATTCATTTTTATGACACTTTGAGCAGATCTTCGGATGTACTCAAAATAAATGGCATTATTTTATTTTGGAATTTGGTATCGCCTTAAACGATAGGTTTGGCTTGTCGACAGTAACAGATGGAGACAGATTGAGACAGATAGAGAGACAGAGGGAGACGCAGAGAAGCGCAGAGAGACAGAGAATGAGAGAAAGAGAGATACAGACACAGAGAAGCATTCTTTCGATGGTTTTGATGCTCAAAGGAATCAAATTAAGTGGATACATGTTTTGGTTGTTGCTGCTGCTGTTGCTGTTTCGAAATGTTCAAATGTTATCGGTGTAGACGGTTGAAGCTAATGAACTTTCATTCCAATGCTAAAAATGGTAATGAATTTCATTGTAGAAAATGATCGCTTCAGTTTCATTGAACGGAATGTCGGCGGTGTAATTTTAGAATGATGCGCATTTCAAATTCAAATCGAACATTGTGTCGACGAAGAAAGCAACAGCAACATCAAATTATGAAAATGGTTATACTTTTTCGTGTCATCTCTCGATAATTCACCAATTTGCCACATTCAAAGGAAAACAACAGTTAGCCAAACATACCAAATTAATTTTATCAATAATTGAAATCACTCGGAATCGAATCGTTGGATGAAATACCACATACATCATCATGATATTTTAATATTTATCATAAAAAATGAAGTGAAGAAGAGAAGAAAAAAATTACCATGAAATTTGATGAACATACAGTCATGGACAAAATTGAGCGTACGCCTATAAATTTTGTGTTTTATTTTTTCCAGTAACTTTTCATCTCAAATGTAATATATCAATGGGAAGTACATAAAAAATCAATAATATTGGCAATTTTGAACATCTAAATTGGCCGGCCAATAGGCGGCTTATGGCTCTCGGTAAAAATGGCCAAAAATTCAATTTGAAAAGTTCGAAGTCAGCCGTTCGATTTGAAAAGTTTAAATGCAGTTTTGAAGGCCTTCAGGAGCAGATACTTTTAAACGCTGAAAACTTTCGGATCGCCTTCAATTTGGGCAAGTTATGGCCGTTGGAAAACCAAAAAATTTTTTGACGAAAATTTTCGTACGCCTATAACTTGGTTAAATTGTAACCGATTTCTATGTTTTATACTATTAAAATTATCTTCATTAAATGGGCTTTCCAACGACATATGACATTTCGCAATCAAACGCTTGGTTTAATTTTTCGAAAAAAATCGGCCATTTTTCCAACGGCCATAACTTGGCCAAATTGAAACCAATCAGAAAGTTTTCAGCGTTTAAAAGCATCTGCTCCTGAAGGCCTTCGAAACTGCATTTAAACTTTTTAAATCGAACGGCTGGGGAAAAAGTTGAATTTTTGGCCGTTTTTACCGAGGGCCATAAGCCGCCTATTGGCCGGCCAATTTTGATGTTCAAAATTCCCAATGTTATTCATTATGCATGTACTTCCCATTGATATATTACATTTGAGATGAAAAGTTACTGGAAAAAATAAAACACAATTTATAGGCGTACGCTCAATTTTGTCCATGACTGTATATGAACAACATTTCAAATGGTTATAATTTCATCATAAATGTAACCCGAAATGAAAAAGGAATACATTAGCAACCGAAAAACGAGAAGAAAAACGATCCCAATAACAGAAATATCAAAATATTGTGATCAACCGGTTTTTTTTTTCATTCTTTCCTCTTACGATCCATACGAAATGAGATTTTATCCATACGAAGTGAAAGACGAGACCAAAATATTAACCGAATTTCTTCGTCTCTTTGTTCCGCTCCTCTCAAGCTTGTCGCTTCAACTTACAACTTCATTTGACGAAAAATCAGATAAATTAAACGAAATTATCGTTTCGATTTTAACTCTATTGAAAATAGAAAGCCAAAAATAAATCGACCATCCAACGAACGAGAAAAAACATCTTCTTAAAAAAAGAGACGAGAGAGCGAAAAACAAAACTAATGCGCAATTTTAAAATGATGCACGGAATTTGAACGTTATCGCTTATCAGTTTGATATACCGTTCAAAAATGTAAAAAGCACAAAAAAAGGCAGCAAAGAGATGAAATAAGAACGACAAATCCGCAACGAAAGCATCAAATGAAAGGAAAACCGACACATGCTTTTACCGACATTGATACAGGTTGGCGAAAACACATAGAAAAAAATCGCTTCGAGAAAGTAACATTTCGCATTTTGATTTTTGCTCGATCGCTCGTGCGCATACAATGTATATTCGCGAAGAAGAAAAATTCAATTTGATACAATTATGAAAAACAAATGAAATAAGTACAACCTTCGCACACCAGACGCTATTAAATCTTTATATGCACATTTCATTTCATTTATGACATTTTAATACCAACAAATGGTGCAACAATTGAACATCGAACAGCCACAAGCGGCTCTCTTTCTCTTTCTCGATCGGCTCAGTCAGCCGATCTTCTTCATTATAAATGCGAAATTGAATTCACAGTATGTGTGCCACACACACACACACACACACAGTTGCGCGCACTTTTTCAAAGTTTTTCGCTTTTTTCTTTCTTTCTTAAATTGAAAAGTAAAAAATATGGAGAAAAAAAAACACCAACGATGCAAAAAAGCGATAGAGAGAAAACCAATGGGAGTGCATTTGGTGCATGGTAATAAGAGGCAAACGCACGCATATTCGATGCACAATTTCATTTTTCTAAAATACTGGGAAATAAAATGGTATTGCTATATAGTGTACGTGCTTTTGTGCGGGCTTTTGTGCCGTGATTCTCTCTCTTTCTCTCTCTCGCTCTCCGATTCGCTTGAAATTATGCGTTCGGAAGCACTGAACAGTATACTCTGTGCGCATAAATGCAAATCGAAAAATCTGTTCAATCGATTTCAAAAAAGACTTATACTTTCTATTCAAGCCGTTTCAGTAGCGTGCTTCCCGAATTGTTTTTTCTCTCTCCTTTCCTCTCCCATTCCCACTCAATATGTATAGCCCATAATTTTGCATCGATCCAAAAGAGACACATCACAAGAACAACCATTCAAAAAAAGCTAAAATGCCGTTTGTTCTCTGATTTACATAATAATTTTCGCGATTAAATGGCCCATTGTTTCATTAATTCTCTGTTGATTCGGGGAATATCTCGTTGAAACATAAACAAATTATGTTGTAAGCAAATTGGAAATGAACTTCTATCACGAAATGTAAGCGCAAAAATTATAGTGGGTTGATTTTTGTTCAAACAGCCGAAAAAAAAACTGCGTTTCGCTGGCTTAAACCGCTCAACAATAGACGATGGAAGCCATTGTTATGGGTTGTCGGTTTGTTTTTCTTCGACTTTTTTCATTCAATTTGCTATTTGGAAGAATGAAACTATTTATTGCTCGTTTGCACAGCAGGTGATATGGCTGCAAGTCAAATGGCAATTTCTTAATCGTGCCAATAGTGAACCATATGAAAAATGATACTAATGGATAGAAAAAGACAGAGATCCACTCACAATTTCTATTTTATGCGGGGAAAAAACCATCCCAAAATAACTTTTGATCCACTAAACAAAGAAAAAAAGAGCGGTTCTCTCTTCTCTGCATCGGCGACACATTCATCTTATGAATCGTTTAGCTATGAAAATGAAAAAACTAAAATATCGGTGAATACGTGAGAGAGAGCATCGATGCCGTCGTGATCACGATATGATCTTTATTTGTTTTCAATGCATAGAACCGTGTGAGTTTATTTGTACGGCCACTGATTTATAGGATACATAAAAATGTCCATATAGAGTCGTTTGATCGATCTTTAATCGGCGTGAGAGTGAGTGAAAGAGAGAGAGAGATTGAGAGAGAGAGAGAGAGCGTGCGCTTTGCGACAATTTTTCTTCCATATGATTGTTTATCCGTATTGATTTATTAATTTGGGCTTTAAACTAAAAACTTCACTCAGTTTAGATTAATCGTCAAATTATTCACGCTGAAGAATACCTCTAAACGATATTGAAGACCAGAAAAAAATCTGTCATTTGCATTTTTTCTCTCTTTGTGTTCGGTTTGTATCTGGCTTTCCATAGCAGCGAACGCATGGTATTCGGCATACAGTCATAATTCGAATGTGAGAAGCGCGTTTACGTCAAAGAACCGTTTTGAAGAAGTGACAGCCCCATTTTTTTGGGGGGGTTTCGATTTGGTTCAAAATCAAGTGGTTCGATTGGCCAGCAGCTAAATCTTTCGCTTTTTATTCTTATCAGTCGTGTGCAATTCGATGAAACAGACAGCCGATAATCCATCAAATCAATGCAAACAATAGAAAAGGAAATTGTCATGTAAATATTTACCATTTATTGTGCAGTTCATGTTCCGACTTTTAACTTGGAGCGGATTTGGTTATTATTCGTATTATTATTTCATTCACGAATTTGTTTTTCTCTGTTCTCTTTCTTGTTTTTTTTTCTTCTCTCGTGTTGTTCACAGTTCGTTGTTCTTCCAAATTGGTTTGAAGTGAATTTTCATGCGCAGCAAATGGCTTGTTTTTCGGCCGCCGCACTCTTCTCCGAACAATTAATCGTCGATGTAATTTATTAGCTTATAAATTGAAACGCGATACACATTTAATGATAACTAATTCGCCAACAATTTTGTTACATCTCGTCTGTATTTTTTCTTTCGTAGTTTCTCTAATTGGCACAATTGGCAGTTGGTTTCTATTTTTTTTTTGATGATATTGCTGCTATTCGCTAGTAAAGTCGTTGCTCCGTTTATTGTATATGTTATTTCTTATTGTTGTATTCTTCTTCGATTTTGCTTCTTTTTGCCACTGTGATCACACGAGATAGAGAGCAATTTCAACACTTTACAACATCTATTTGTATAAACCGCTTTGATTGATATTGAAACTCGTGTAATGTGCGTTTGTACTTTATTCACTTATATTTATGGTTTCATTTCAATTCGTTTTTTTCGTCGATTTTTTTTCTTCTTCTTCTTCGTTTCGTTCACCTCTTTTTTTATTGATCCTTAATAAAAACACTTATGCTTTTTGTCTTTATCGAATGTTCGACGCTATTACATGTTTCAAGTCTTTTTTGTGCTATAAACGGAAATGACTGTGAAACAGAAAGAACACACTACATAAGAACAGGCATATTTTTCTGTCCAATTTGATCATTGGATCCAGCTAGGGGAATATCACGCTCCTGAATCTTGTGAGATATTTGAGATATTTGAAATAAACATCAATTGCATGACATATTTTCGAATATTTCCAATGAATAAATCAGATTTTTGTGGATTATGGAGATATTTGAGATTTTTTGCATTAAATCTAAATAAATACATTTAAATATCATTCATAATCACAAAAATCCAAAATATTCCGCCGTATTCACAAATATCCACCATATTTCATACGACAGATTCTTAGAGATAAATTGGATTTTTTTGAAATATTTGAAATAATTTAAGCATGATATTCCCCTAGGGATCCAGAATTGGGTTTTTTCGGTGTCTTTCGTTCATTCAATCATGTTTATTGTGGCTAAGTGCTTATTGCTTGCCGATTATTTTCAATAGGTTCGACGAGGAGCGCACACGTGCGCAAATGTGCGGAAAATGGGATGCACTTAGTGTGTATTCTGTTTTAAAGTAGCTTCTTGAGCCATCAATCCCATTTTCGATTTGGCATTTCGATCGTATGGAAATTTACAAGAAAAAGCGAAATCCGACACATTTAGCTTCCCAACGAAAGATTGAAAAGAGTAAATTCTCATGAATACCGGTAAAAAAAATCGATAGCGCGAGAGAAAGAAACACAGAGAGGAAGGAATGGTCGAATTGACATGGCAATGTGATTGTGTGCTGTTGTGCCCTGCACATGAATGATCTATTGATAGATCGATTTTTACAATGACGGATACTGGAATGGCAACGAGAGTGTGCATACCATATTTCGCCGCGTATCGTAGAAGGAAAATAAAATGTTAATTGCACATTCTCGTCATTCCCGTATCCCAACGAAGTCTCTTTTTTTCCATGTTATTCATACGTATACGCTGCACATTTTCACTGTGTGCTTCTCCCACTTCGGTTGATTTTTTTTTTGTTCGGTCGTTTCCATCCTCTTTCTTTTGCATATTATGAATAGATAATGATTGCATGATGATTATAAACTTTCAGCCAAAACGTGATGATGATGAGGTGTGCACGTCAATCGGTGTGCGTCGCAGTTCAAACCGACTGTAGGAAGCTATACACATTATATCTGTACAAGTAATGAGTATTTTACACTCGCATTTCGTTCGCTTTTGCCTGAACCATTCGTCTAACGTCAATTTTTTTTCTCCTCTCTCCATATGTATGTGTATGTGGCTGGTGAGTTGCTTTTTTCACTCTCTTGCAAATCAAGATTCTGTCATAGGTGTTCTGGTTGCTTCTGTGATGAAAAACGATCACTCAGTCGTACGTGCTGCTCTTGACACTGCACAACACCTTGTGTTCAATCTAATACATTTCAAAGCCAATTACATGCCATTTTTCCTATGCATTTCATTAACGAACGGGAAATATGCTATGCAAATGCTTTGGATTATGATTACCAATGATATCTATATTTTTCTTCCCCTCTTCTGCTCTTAACTTCGGGAATTCGCAATGAATCGCTCATTTTTTTTACAATTCCATTTTGCATCGAAGCTCAACTACTCAAAATGATCTTGTAGATTCTTCGCTTGACGCAGTTCATTTTGTTTGGCGGTGCGCGCCAATTTTTGAATGAGCAAGAGGCACGGGAAACGGCAATTTGATCCAAGAGAAAAGTGCAAATTCAATGGTTAAGAGAGCTCTTCTTCATAATTGCGGCGGAACGGTCACTCTTCAATAAATTTCTAGCACTTGGATTTTGGTGTGTGTGTGTGTGTGTAAGTGATTGTGGAAACATCCGAATCGTGTAAACGAAAAAGTAGAATCATTGTCAAAAATGAGAATTAATCGTTTTGGGCATTTGATTCATTCGAGATGTGTGTGTTTTCTTTTCTGAAGCTGGAAATGAGTTCACAATTTTATGTGATGGTCACAAAACACAAAATCGTGAATGAGCTTACGGCAACCTGACAAATCATCATGTTGAAAGTTCACAAGATTTTGGGTTGGTCCAAAAAAAAAAAAATAAAACGAAAACAACAACAAGAGACAATTACAAGTTGAATTTTTAGTTGTAATGTTGTTGTTTTTGTTGAACGTTAGAGAAACGGGATTTCACAAGCAAAAAAAACACGTACATACTCACACCGAATTAGATCGGTGCATGGACTCGAGTAACAAGCGGCAAAACGTCGATATACAATGTCGTTTTTTTTGTGCATTATATCGATAAATCGTCGACAGAAAATATTTGTAGCCAATGGCTGCAAAAGCCAGAACTTGCGCGTAAACAAAATTCCGTCGATCGGTGGCTTAATGAATGCCAAGCATGGTACCATTTTTGTTGCAGTGAACGACATGCCGACATTAGGTAATTGGCTATGGGATTTGTCAATAAAAAAAATCGTAGCCTCGAAATAAACCAACATGTTTTAGCCATTGGGCAGTCTTTTTTCTCATATTCAAATGGCATCAAGTGAAATTGATCGCACACAAAATGGACTTCAATGGTGTGCAATTTGATCTATTAAACATCGAATCTATGTAAATTGAGGAATTCTTACGCTACAGTAGAGCCCAATCCATAACCGAAATTACAACCAAAATGGTCCATCCATCGACACCACACAGTGTCGAAACTCTGATGTGCGTTTTCATACATACACACACGCGCGCGCACTCGAACACAGATACTCAGATAGAGAGAGAGAGAGAGAGAGAGAGAGAGAGAGAGAGAGTGAGAGAGAGAGAGAGAGAGAGAGAGAGAGAGAGAGAGAGAGAGAGAGAGAGAGAGTGAGAGAGACAGTAGTACCGTGTTAACGTTTGACTCCATGGTACCAACCAGCAACTTACTCACTTTATAATATGTAATTAAAATTCCATTTTTGTCTTAACGCTTTGGTTGTGTATTTTGTTGTATTCTTCATTTGGTTGTTGCTGGTGCTATTGCTGATGTTGCTACTTTCGAGCAAAGCGGTCGTTGAATTTTCAGTCGATTTATTTTGTTTATTTGTTTGCGTTTAAATCTATTCCAAGTGAGTTTGTCTCTCGTTTGCTTATAGAAACAAAGTCAAAAAGCACTGAACATTCTATATTTTGTTTCGATACGCAGTAAAACAAAGCAAAAGAAAAAAACAACCAACGATCCACTCACACATAACACAGAGAGAAACCGCAAAAGAACGAAATATTCGAACGAAAAATGAAAAAAAAAGTGAACAGAAAATTAAAAAAAAAGCACACACAAAAAGAAGACATAGATCGAATGAACGAGAGCACAAAAGAACACACCACGAATACGCGCGTTGTCTTACAGCCTAAAGATCATTATATTTTGTAAGAGAAAGAGAATTTACGTGAATTCGTTTTCTTTTTTATTTCGTCGTCGTCGTTGTTGTTGCTGCTGTTGTTGTGTATAATTTTGTGGCCACGATCGAAATATACGTGTACTTTGATCGAATGCTATTTTACAACTGAACTGTTGGTTGGCGTTCACCTTGCGATCTAAACAAGCAAACATCGAGCTTCTTAGCGCGCTCTCTCTCTCTCTGTCTTCGCAATCAACCACGATCATACGTATGCTTGCTCGAAGCCGTTTAACCGCGTTCAATCGCTCATTTTCTCTTGCAAACCCATTCGGCAAGAAGAAATGCCGATGCGAGCGTCATGTTCTATGCCGAGGTATTCATTTCGGGCCCGTGCGCCGCTATGTGCATGTGTGTGGCTGTGTCTGTGTGTTTCACATATTTCACTTTTCTTTCTTCAACTTCATCAATTTTTCATGTTGTTGTTGGTCTTCTTCGTCTTTCCATTCGGTTTGTCCGTTTTGAATTACAACTTGATTCAAGGCAGCCAATTTGAACGGTGTGTGTGTGTGTGTGTGAGTGTGTACTGGAAACCGGAGACCCAACGTGTATACACACACCGACCATAATAAACACTTGCTCATCAAGTGTTTTATTCCTTTTATCTTTTGCTGCTCATATTTTATTGCCCTCTTTTCGTTTATTGCCTTCGTTTCAATTTCTCGAAGCGTATTCGCTCCGACGTTGGATCGATACGACCTCCACCAAACGTGACATGATATCTTTCATTTTGACAATTCAATAACAACAGCGGCAGCAAGAGGAAAAAATGCATTCGTTTGAAAATGCGATGCAGCAACGATGATTTGTACTGGCCGGAATTTTCGCTGCATATCCGCTCTCGAAACCACTGCGCAAGAGATCTATCACAATCGTAATCAATTGGAAAAATCCATGGGCACAACAAAAGCACCTATGCAAAATAACGCTCACACATATTACGATATATGCACACAGGAGTCAAACAGTAAACAACGCCAACTGTTAATAGCATTATACATCGTTGTCGTCGTCGTCGTCGTCGTAGTTGTTGTTGCGGTTTTTTTTCTTTCGTTTCGGTTGCAAATTGATCGTCCGTTTTATTTTATTGTTGTCGCCGCCGCCGCCGATGTCGTTGTATGCATATCTTTTCTTTTTTGTGCGAATAACAAGTCGGTGCTTAAGCAACATCGATTCGAACAACAAATTCGCTCCCAATCATTGCATTCACCTTAAAGTTTATTTGGAGAGTAAGTGCAATGACTCGAAAATTCTGTTATATGTGACATTGTGTACGATCGTAGTTCTCATCTCGTTGAAACGAATTTTTCGGTGACAAAATCTGGTTTGACTCGTTTTCTTTTTCGTTGTTAAACATACTGGAAATGTGAATGCATTTTTTTATGCGGTCGATACCATTTGGCACAGAATGAATTCTCGCAAATTTGTCAATCGTCGTCGTGAGTGCCGTTATATGAAACAATACAAAATGCTAATCAATTTTTCGAGTGGCGACACTGGCAAATTCATGGGAAATGTATTGGGAAACTGTGCGATCTGTGATCTGGAGCGTGTGCAGAGTAAAAATACAATTGTTGCTTTCTTTCTCACAATCGATCGATGTGTCGCGCGCGCGGCGCATGCAATGGTTTGATGTGCGCGTTAGTGCACATCTGCCACTGGATTAAAATGAAATGAAATGAATTGTGGTGTTTTTGGTCGTTGAAAGTCAACTAGGCTAAGCCGATTGCTCCTCATTGCGTGCTGCCTCCAACTGAAACGGAATATATATTATTTGAAATTCAACTGAAACGCATCATAAAGAATAAAATTCGAGGCCAAATCGAACTGAAGGCTGAACCATCGAAGCGCACCTGTGAATAAAACACACCATAAACCGCTTTGTCCGCTGCAACACCAAAATCAATCCAAATTAAGTATGAAATGATACGCATGTTGAATATACATTCATTTCGTCATTAAAACAGGTGTTTGAATGCACTAACAACCACAATGAAGTCATAGTACCTAGCTATTGCATACATTTAGGATATTTAAAAAAAAAAGTACAGAAAAACACAACGACCGGGCCAAAACTTTAATTTATAGATTTATCTTTATTCCATAGTAAATAATAACTGCAAATGCATACACAAATTGTTGACATTTTTCAATAAATTTTCACAATGTTCTTACGGTTGTTGTTGTTGTTTTCAATCATCATGTCTGATTTGTTTTGTCGGTTTGATTGGTTTTTTTCTTAGTTGTTCCTTTTTTTTTAAATGACACACATCGTCCAGAGCCATCCAATGGAATGTAGTTCCCTCTTTTTAGCGCATGTTTTTTTTTAATCATTCGAAGTAATTGTTTTGTTTTTTCCTTTGTTATTTCCTCTCCCTCTCTCTTAGTTTTGTTCTTAAAGTCTGCTAAATTTAATATTTATGAAATAATCTTTGTTTTGTGTGTGTACGTGGCTCAACTAAAAAGAAAAAGTACTAAATGTCTGTCTAAAAACTGGGGAAATGGCTTCCCAAACGTCTGTGTACGTATGTAAACGTCTAAAAAGAACTAAGATTCCGAACGCAATTCTATTTTTTTGGTTTTATCATTGAAAAAAAAAAAACTGGAACTGAGCTGTGTACCTGATTATCTCCAGAATGGAGACATGCCTGTTCGCTTACTCTATTGCCTACAACATGATTCATGGGGCGGTTGGGTGGTTGACCAGTCGGATGGAGGAGAGAAGGGAAAATTATCGAAATTTGTTACTCAATTGGGCGCCTGGTTACGTGTTTGTTGGTTTTTTTTAATTTATTTGGTTTGTATTTTTCTCTCATTTTTGTAATCATTTTATTTAATCATAAATAGGTAAATACGTTGATAGTTTTTTTTTGTTCATTAATAATTTTGAATAAACACTTCTTGATCGATTTTAGTTTTTTTTTTTTTTTTTTTTGATTTGAAAGAAGAAAATTTCACAACAATGCAAATTACAATAATACACGTATTTTGTTAAATATTTTTTTTTTAATCATCGAGTTTGTAGTTTTTTTTTCCGTTTGTCTCATTAAAAGGAATGTGTCGCCATATTGACGATCTTAAATCGCGAAAATAAACATATCAATATAGTTTGTAGTGTGAATTCTTCTTCACACACACGTTTTATTTGGTTTGCTTTACTTGGTTAGATTGTTTGTTTGGTTTTTTTTTTTCTTCTTTATTTCATTTAACAGTTATAACATTTTAAATTCAATACGCTTTCAAATTTATCTTTAAATTTTTCAATAAAAATAAAAGTCGAAATCAGCGAATCATGCAGAGACGAATAATAATTATATAGAAATATCATTCAAACATAGAATAGAATAATGTTGGTAATTTTTTTTGTTTTGTTTGTTGCTTGTATATACTGGAGAATCGGTGAGCATGGAATTTCGTGTTTGTATATGAGTGATGATGGTATAATCACCGTACACGAATCACCGAAACACCAAATCTGGTCGCTAAAATTTCGTCGATTTCCTTCAAATTAGTAATTGTGTGTGTATTTGTCTGTTTTTTTTTTGTATGCAATAAAATACTAACAAATTGTTTTTTTTTTCATTTCTCCGCCCTTTGTAATGCTCATTGTTCATTTTACATGCCCTCGTTTATTCTTTACTTTAATAGTTTCTTAGTTAATTCTAGGTATTGTCCTGGTTGTTTTATTCATTTTTTTTTTGTTTATTTTCAAAGTACGTTTTTTTATGTTAAATTTTCAAATATGTTAATATAGTAATTTTTTTTATGTTGGTTATAAATAAGTGTTGTTTCTCAAAGGGGATGATGAAATCGAGGGAAAAAAATGCAATTTAAATGCGACAACATAGAAATGTTGTCGTTTCTTTTCTGTGCAATTTGAGCGTTTTAGTTGAATCTCTGAATTGAAGGTCATTTGTTGCATTAAAAAGCGAAAATAATAATCGAAAATTATGACTCATAAATTGTGTTAGTTTTCTTTCTTAAAACAAAAGATACACAGGAAAAAAAATTTATTTTTGCAAACATTGAACGTAGGTAGGTGTTGTGCTGCGTTTTTAAGCATTTTATCGACACCAAATAGGTCGTTGAACAACACTGTTGGCCGAAAGGGGGATTGCGGATGGCACATGTCGATTCGATATATCGAAAGAGTAGAGATAAAAGCCTAATTGTGTGGCTTTTGTAAAATCGGAATTCTCTTTCGTCAATCGAATGCAAGCATGTTGTTGTTGATGTTTTCGAAACATTAGCTTCCGCTCTCCTCTCAAGAAGCAGCCATTGTGTGCAACGGTGACGACTTTTCTTTTTTTTGTTTTTGAATGTCTGCATGTTTAAATATCTAGTAAATGCAAGTTACTAGATGGTATGTTTCTGTTTCATTGTTAAATACTCTATTGAATAAAACGTAATAAGTTCAAAACTTTGTTTGGTTTTCTTTTGTAAACAAGGAGACAATTCTGAAACTGCATGTTTTGGCTTTGATCCTCTGCGTATTATATAATTTTCTTACGTGTGTTTTTTTTCTCTTTACATTTTAATGGTTAATACATATCAATAGAACAACAATTGAATAGTTTTTTTTTTTTTAAATATATTTTTGTGGTTGATTAGTTTTTTTTTTGTTTGTTCATAGAAAAAGCTGGAGAGACACTTGATCCGACTCCTGTGAATACGTCGAAATGAAAGAGTCAAATAAAGGAGATGAAAACATCTAGAACAATCAAAGATTCCATTTTTTGTTTGGGTTTTTTTTTGCTTTCAAGTTATTTTTTTTTAAAGTTTGTATATGCATTTTAAACATAAAGTTTTGCAAATAGAACATGCGAAACGAACGCTTATATGTCAATAGTCAATCAGAAATGCAAAACAGAAGCAGTAAATCACATATTTATTTTTGTTCTTCTGTCAAAATGCGAATTGCTCTCGTTAATAAACTTTGAAGAAATTACATTCATTTTTTTTTTGGTTTGGTTTGGTTTGGTTTTGTTTCTACTCATACCTTATATTTATTGCTATGTGTTTAAATGTTTCATCTTCGCCTCAAATCCTGTCGATCTATCTGATTCATTTCAACAGTGTTTTGGGTGTGCTCCTATTTTTACTCTCTACACGATCTATCTATATCGTTTCTTTGGTTTGCTAACTTATCCTTACAGGTTCCGTCGTCTTTACATATTATATATCGGTCGGTCGGTCAGAAGCTTTGCGTATGGGTATGTGAGTAGGTGGATGTGTCTGTGAATATGAATTCAACAATAAACATTGAAATTTGTTTGAAAAACAATTTGAAGGAAGAAAAAAAAACGAACAGAAACGTTTGAGTTGGTTGAATTTGTGCAGAAATCGATGTTTCTAGTAGAAATTTTCTACAAACCGAAAAATGAACGTATGATCCATCAAAACAAACATTACAGCGATAATTCAATCCAGTTGCCATGTATCAAATTATTCTGTGTGAACTCAATTCAGGCTCATCACCTGTAAACATCATATTCAGTGTGTGCTTAACGGAGAAATAGAAGAGACCTATTATCCATGGGAATGGTGCAGAATGTATGTGTTTGGATTTGTGTCATCGTTTGACCGATTATTCTTGATTAAGCTGTACTTTTGACCGAACTCCAGAAACCTTAAATAATTGTTTATTGGCTTAACATCCTATGTATTTATATGATTTTTGTTTTTGTTGTTGTTTTAGTTTTCCTCTTGTTTTTCTACTCTGAATGTTTTCACCCGCATTCCGTGGAATGGTCCATGGAAGCTATTCCAACGAGCAAGTTGTCATCAAAAATAAAATATATATATATGCGTGCGTGTGCATGTTATGACGCACACACGCTCTACGATCGTTCGATTTAAACCGTTTATGAATTCGTTGATCAACAAGGACTTTTGACCTGCTGCACTAAATGTGTTTGTTTTTATTTCTTCTTCTACTTCGTCTTCATTGAGATCATCCAATAAAGTAAAATAAAGAAGATTTTTGCTTTGGTTTTTCTTTTTTTTTCGCATTTCGATTTGTTAACTTAACTTAACGTTCCGAACATTACGTTAAAATACTTGCATCAGACTCATTTTTTCTTTGTTTGATACTCCAAACTAAATTGTTTTCGCTCTTAAAGTATTTTCATTTAATTTCTCATTTTGATAAATTGGTTGCTTTCTAATTTATCGCACACTACATTCGCAATTTGAAAATATGGATATCTCGACGTTTGTGCAAAACCGAAAAAAAAGACACAAAGAGAAGATTTGTCCCGTCGAGACAGAAACGAAATGAAGTAAGAAGAAAGGAAAAATTTAGCGTTGCCGCTAAACTGACCGAAAACCACTTTTTGTGTTTCGGGTGGGTGCGCAGAATAGAAATTGTGATAAACACTTCTTATCTAATTTTGAAAATGCTCTTCCAATTTTGAGATCATTTAACTTCTTGATATTTTGTTGTTGCTGGTGCTGCTGCTGTTTTTTCTGCATCTATTCATTTCTTAAGTGCTAATGAGTCATTTTGGTGAGTGCCATGATCATTTACTCTTTTTTTCAAATATATTTATAGATTTATATTCCGATCATTTTAAATCAGGTCATTCTCGATTTTAACGTATTTTAATTATAAATATTTTATGTGCTGGAAACTTGATCTTGATTTTTTTTATTGTTTTTTTTTGTCTTGTTAGCTGTTGTTGTTGTGTGTATGACAAAACGATAAAAATCCAAAGTGAATGGCAAGGTTTTTATTCAGATTAAAAGTTAGAGTGAAATGAACGATATATAATATATATATTAATGTATTGTTGTTGCTTGTTTTATCTTTGTTAGTATTAATTGTGTGTCGTTTACAGACGATTTATATATCATTCGATCTTCCAATCACCTGTATACCTTTCTCGTCCATCACCGGGCGAGACGAGGCGAGAGAGTGAGAGTGTGAGACTTTGTGTTTTTTTCTTCTCCTGTTATCTTTTGAAGCAAATACAAAGGAAGAATTATTGGCAACATGACCGTTTTCCTTTTTTTATTTGTTGCTTTGCAATCCAAGTTTGTTCCTCGTGAAATCTAATGTGTGTGCTAATCGTGACACGTTTGTCGCTTCAATTCAACCAATTTATCTGATCTGGGCATTGGTAATTCGATTTTCGATCTCATATGGGTTTTGTGTGTGTGTGTGTGTGTGTGTATTTGTTTGTTTTTCATATAAGTGCAGCCTATCTAAAAATTTAAATTACTTCTAATTGTAGTTCAAGTCCGTATGTAATGAGTGAGTGCTGATACTGATTCTCTGTTAAGTCGGTCTCTCCTTTATTCTTACTTATACCTCTAATATGTTGCTGTTGTTGCGGTGATTGTGATTTACTGATTTTGCTTCTGTCGAACTCTTCATCTCTTTTCGCTAGTTTGTCTTTTTTTTTGCTTTACTTCGTCTTTAATGTGATTCACATTATGCGAATGCGAACATTCCAACTTTGTTTCGTGCTCTCTTTTGACGCTATCTCGCCCACTCTATCAACCTACTTATCTATATTATTTTTTTCTTTGTTGATTCATTTGTGCATTTATCTATGCCATGTTCATACTTCAGATAAGAGCACCCCATCAAAGTGGCCGCGTCGGTGTACATTTTGATATGCCTTCAATTTTGAACTATGGATTTCCATTGCTGTTTTTCATCATCACTACAGTTTACTTGTTGTTGTTTCTGGATTTGTATCATTTCTTCTCTTCTTTTTTGGTAGTCAAGACATCACTGTAAAGTGTGGCAGTTACTTCTTAGGTTCACATCACTTATCTATTTGCTAATCGAATGACAAATGGATCTTCCTATTTGGAGGATATTCGGAGCTTCCTATCTGGCAATGGCAATCTCAATAAATAATGAACAATGTACAAATGAAAATGATTCACATGATGAACGAAGAAAATGAAGAACAAAACGGGAAATTTTGGAGAAACAAAAAACAAGCACGGATACATACAGAAACGAACAAACAAAAAAACAATGTGGCAAAAACTCAAGTCAAAGAATACAAACGAAGTGGAAAAACCAGATCAAAAAAAAAAACGAAGAAAAAAAAATTCAAAAAAGACAACCATCAGGTAAAGGGGGGGCAAGTGTAAATAAAAAAAGTGTCAAAATAAAAAAAAATGTATAAAATATCAGTATATTTTGATTATAATCTAAAATAATTAAAGTAATAAAAATATGTACAGTTTAAAATCGATAAGAAAACAGGGGAAAAAAAATACACATGAAATATCAACACGGGTTTTCTTTTTTCATTCTGATGATTTGTTCAAATAGATTTTTTTCCAGCTCTTCTTGTACATTCAATTGATCGTGCTATTCCGAAATAATTTACTCTCTCTTTATACATTTAATCGTACAGCTGCAGCATATGCGATATCGCCATTTACATATCTCATGCTTGACACAAACAATTTTCTCATTTTTGCCGCACGAAAGCAGTTGACGTAGGGGTGTGTGTGTGTGTGTGTTGTCAGCAACAGCAAATCTCCTCGTGTCTATTGGTTTTTATTGTTGTTGTTTTTAGTTTTGGTTTTTTTTTCGAATGCTAATAATGTGGAAGTGAAGGGTGCATAGGCACATCATGCAAACATTTGCTGCTCTTTCAACCAATCGTGTCTTCAACCTTTCCTTTAATATTTTTTTCTTCAATTTTTTGTTTGTCGTATTAATATGCGACAATTTTGCCATGAAAATCAATTTAACTGAAGAGGTGAAATCGCATTCATTTTTTATTCAAGAATTTTTTTTCTCGACATTTTCAATGAACTATTATGTGGATTATTGAAATGCACATCGTAATTCATTCAATTATGTTCACAAAAAAATGATTCTTTTGACTTTTTTTAATGTTTTTGTTTTGGTATTCATTTCCTTTATAACATACTCTCATTTGTATTAGTGTGGTAGATTAAGGTGTGTATGTGTATATATTTGCATCTCGATTTTATGTTGATCTTTTCATGCTTAGTTTTCTTTTCACCTACATTTGCGTGCTTTTTTTTTGCTAAAACCTTAATTTCATTCATGGCTATGTATCATTTTTTTTCTTCTCTCATTTTTCTTCCTTTTTATATCTCCTTGTTTGGTTTTCTTTTTTAAATAAAACGAAGCGCAAAACCGAAGAAAAAAATTTAATTTTTTGTTTGTTTGTTTAAATAGTGCTGTTCTAAACAAATAGTGACGTTTAAACTGTTTATGGCAACGGGGTAACTATTTCAACATATGTTTGAGGGAAGTAACCAGTTCGACCGTTTACGCTTCCTTCATACCAATTCTCATCGACGCGCTGCAACAACTGGATTGTATCATTTTCCTGCAGGTAGAAAAAAAAACGAGACATTTTTGATTTAGAACTTTTAATTTGTTTAATTTAAAAAATAAAAAACTAATAGCCATTGTTTCAACAATATAAATGCTCTGGTAGAATAATGATTTCATTTGAAATTTTGAATCATTTTTCGAACAATGAGAAGAAAAGAAATGAACAAAAATAAAAAAAAGTCTTTCACATTGCGTGTTTGAATCCCAATACATTGGGATTTTTACACTTACTTTGAATCCCAATTCATTGGGATTTTGCGGATCGAAATCGTAGAGTGCAGTGCAGCATGGTACAGATGGACGTTGTTGTGGCATTGGACTCTTTGCCGGTGATCGCATTGGTGATGGCAAAGGTGATGCTGTAACCAAATCAAAATTATATCCACACATTAAAAATAATCAACCGTAAATTTTTCAAGAAACAAAATGCATTTTATATTCGAACAAAAACAAAAAAGAAGAATATCTCTCATGCATCTTAACAGAGTTCTAATTTTAATTCAAAACAAAACGCAAAAAAAAACAAATCACATCCTTTTTGTTTACACTCGAATAAAATTAAAGCTAAGAATAAAAACCATGAACTTATAAGTATTCTTCTTGAAATGAGCTCGGGCGAGCATGCGGAGTTAATTCAGCAAAACGGAAAGGAATAATCATATTTATATATATATACGAAATACCGGTATAAAAACCAACAATTCCAATATGAAGTATCAGGATTGGAATATGCCATCTTATTCGAACCAAAGACAAATTTAGAAAAAAAAGATAAACCTCATTTCATTGTTAGATTGTTAAGCTAAAATTTATGTTGTTAACAATTCATGCCAAAAAAAAAATGATAATAAAACCACCGCCAAATTCCCATAAACAGTGTGAACAAAATTGAGCAAATATTTCATGCGATAAAATTATTGAGCAATTATTGTCAACGAAAATGCGTCGCAAAAAACTCCAAACGAATTTCATTGATAAACATGCGCTAAATAAAAGAACGAAAAAGAAACCAACAACAACAACTCGGTCTAATAAAAACTAGATGGAGTTTTATTTTTACCGTTGGTCGAGTGAGATTGCACTTGACCATTGTCCAATTCCAGATGTGTGGGTTTGGTTACTGTATGTTAAACATGAATAAACATGAAAAATAATATAGAGAGAAAGAGAGAGAAAGAGAAATGGAAATAGAAAGAGACAGAGAGAGAGAGAAAGAGAGAGACAGAGAGAAAAACATTGTTACAAAGGACAGATAGCAGTTCATCTGATGAACTTTCATTCTAGAACAATCGAAATTTTCGAAACAGCCTAAACCACGTTCACCTTTTTTTTTTTTTTTCGAACATAGAAACAGAAGATTTGTTTTTGCCTAACCGAAAACAAAAATCCGAATGAAAAAAAATAAATCCAATTCGGAACGTATTTCAGTGTCGTTATGGCAAAAAATGTCAACGGTTCAGTGTGAAAAAGCCGCCGCACTGGGAAATACGTTTACAAGTTATACACATCAACAAATTGACATTTATGTACGTAAATTTTGGTACGTGGACGCTTTTGATTTCAAAAGATCTTATGTTTTTGACAACAAAACAGTTGCAACATTGACTAAAAATCTACACACTGGATTATTAATAACGGGGATGGCGAACGTTATATTATTTTTTCAAATAAATAGCTACACCAAATGACACCATGTTCCAGGAACCAACATAATTTTTTCGGCTAATTTGGTTAAATGAACAGAGAAATTTACTCGTTGAAACAAAGAAAAAACACGCCTGAAACCTCTTCAATGATTCTAATGAAAGAACGGGACATTTGAACCGATCAAAAATACAGTCGACATAACCATTTGAAGTCTTCAAATTGAAGAAAGGATACCGTTTGCTTAACATTTCATTTGATCAAGCGATATTTTTCTACTATTCACCCATTTGCTTCGAATAATGTGTTAGTGTTAGTGGAAGTGTTAGTGTTATTTATGTTTTGTAGTTATTTTGTTGAATGTAAATGGTGAATCAATTGAAATGATTTAACAGATTAGACAGACCAACTGATACGCTGGATCGTTAGTACCAAAGAGTGAAAAAGAAAACACTTCAAAAATCGTTCAATTCAAACAATGTGTGTGTGTGTGTGGCATGTTACAACTGTTGTGTACACATCAAAATGCAATATCATATCCATACAACAAAACAATACACGGTTAATGTTGGTTATTCATAAATGCATCCGGCAAAACAATAACAACAAACAATTTTCAATTCAGAACATTCACAGTTTTTGTTTCACGCGACCACAACAGAACGAAGAAGCCCTTAAGCGGATAGAGTGTGTGTATGTAGGTGTGATAAAAATGATAAAGCGTAATTTTTCCATTTTAGAAGCATGACGAAAGCGTCGAAGTCTTGCACATACGGATTCCACGGTAGCGACCGAGTATGTATGTATTCACAGACAGTAATGAGTGTATTTCGATAAGTACGATGCGACAATTGTCTCTCGTTGTCCAATCATCACCACCACCAAATATAACTTAAGCTTAACAGTTCAAATCAACATAAAAACAAATGTGTTCATTACTTCTTTTTTTTTTTCAAAAGAAAATCCAATATTTTTTCCATTCACCAATATTCGCTACGTTAAAAAAAATGAAAAAAAAATATAATGAACTTAACTAATGGTCACCCGACACCAAGTTTTTTTTTCCGCTTTTCCTTAGTCACCGTGTTTTAAAACGCACAATTGAAGGTCAATGTATGTCTGAATGATGGATTGCACGACATTTAATGAGTGTTAGATATGGATTTAAAACACGTGTTGTGCATCGAAAATGACATTTCAAATGTGCGCAATTGGTTTTTTTTAGTGCGTTAGAATCCGTTTGAAAATCGTGTGTGAATGGAATTTGCAACGCAATCGATTCGAATCACGTCGCAAATGCTACCAGCATTTTGGTTCACTTGAGGTAATTGCAAAGTGAAACACGATGCAGTTTTTTTTTGCTCGCTTTGTTTATTGAGCATAAAATGAGATCGTTGAGCATTTATGACGTTTGAATTCGATTTGATTTTGAATATAAAAATTGTGCATGTTTTGTACATTTGCTTTCATGACCGAAAAAAAAAACTGATGTTGAGCAACCGAAAGTGAATGATAAATAAATATTTTTGAACCCGAAACCCTTTGATACAAATAAAAATGGGGACACAATAATAGATTTAACCAATGAAATAAATAACAAACAAAAAATGAGGATTAAAATGGAATATGAATGAGGACTAAATAAAAAATAAAATTAAATTGGGATTTTGACAAATCAACTAAGAAAAGGAAAAAATTAATTGAGGATGTGTAGAAAAAGAAAAAGAAAACCAAAAAAAAAGAGAAAGGAAATAAAAATTCACCTGTCCAGGGATCGTTGATGAGACCATTTTGACTATTAAAATTACTAAAATGATTTGTATTCGATGTATTTGTATTGGTGGTGATGTGATTTGATCGAGCGACAGGTGCTGCCATATTTGACACATTTATCGATGAAAAGACTGGATTTGGTGCTCGTGTCACCGGCGGCGGTGAATTCCATGCATTTAACCATACATCCGTTGGTATCGCACTCATATCATTCAATAACAAATTGTTTGCATGATTATGATAATGATTGCTACTACTGTTTGAATTTGTATGGTTGGTGGTATTTTGCATTGCACCGGTACTGGTTGTTGTTGTTGTACTATTAAAATTCAATAATAAATCGTTATTATTGTTTGTGCGATGGTGCGACGACGACGACGATGAATGATTTGAAGCAGTCGATAGGCTTTGTTGCGAACCATACGTTCGACTTCTCGCAAAATTACTGCTATGAATGATATTTGTTTTGGCCAAATTCTGCTGTGAGCTGAACAAACTGTATTGACTGTTGTGATTGTGATTGTTGTTGTTGTTGTTGTTGTTATTATTGGTTTTGTTATTGAATAGATTGTTTTTATTACTGCTTTCGTGATTTTTGTGATTGTTGTTGAATTTGGTATTGCTATTTTGATGATTCGATTTGTGTGAATTGGATTGGAAATAACGCCCACCGCTTCCTAGCATATCGGAACCACCGACGCTGACGCCCTCAATGTTCAATTCGGCCAGTGTTTTTGGTACGAATTCGCCCTTTGGACGGCTTGCAGCTTCATCACGCCTAAAAGAAATTTAATCGATTCGATATTAGTTTTATTTTTGCGATAAACACATTTTTATTTCATTTTTTTTATTGTTTCTGTCGAAACAAAAAAAAATTATTCTATTTTTCTTTCAAAAATACTTATTTTTACATTTCTTTTCGATTTGAATTCTTTTTAGTTTTCTTGAAAGTCAGACATGCGCACGGGATACCCTTCAATTTGTCGCTCAACGGGCAATTTTTAGAAAAGAACACCTTCTTGTGGTCAATGCACTTTCAGCAAGTAGTCTGAGACTACAAAGAAAAACAATCTTCAAATTTTATCCCAAGTTGAATATTTTGGGCATGCCCACTGCCCATGTCTGTTGTTTAATCGCGTGTCTACCACGCGACGGTACTACACGTGGGTACTACGAGTGTGGGTCTTGGTTATTCACTGTAGTACGTACAACGACACAAAAAATGCTTACTTTTGTGAAAGTGTTTCCACGAGTCCTTTCAAAATATCAGCACACTGCTGATGATAGTCCAGCAATCCTTCAGAAAACGTGTACAGCTGCGATACTTGTTCGACCTACAAATAATTTAGTACAATGACTTAGACACCTGTTTCTGTTTTCATGTTTTTTTTTTGTTCTCTACTAAAACGTGATTGAATTTACATCATTTTCCAGCAAGTTGTACATTCCCAATTGGGCTAAATGTAATGACTCGGCGAATTTATCCTCAGCTCCGCGTATTTCATCGTCTGTAATATGAGATCCTTTGTTTATGTATCGCATTTTATGAAATGGTTTTTTTTCGATTTGTTTTATCATGCGAATTGTGTGTTGCGGTCATGCATAACCAATCGAATATCCATAAATGATAAGAGGATAATAGATGATGATGGGTTTTTGTAAAAGTAAATAAAATCATAATGTTGTCGGGCACCATTGTGTTGGAACCAATGAGCATAAACCAATTTTAACCGAAAACGAAAGAGAAAATAAATAAAACAATAGAAAAAATTATAAATACATAAAACAATGAGATGTGGGGGGGGGGAATTAAAATAATCATATCAAGTGTGAGGAAAATTTAAATGAATTGCGTCCAAGAAAAATCAATTAATTTCGCTCTGAACGGATTTAATGTACAATGCGAATGCATTTTAATAGACGATTTATTTATAACATCTCCATCGACCGCTTACCTTTTGCCTGTCTACGTCGTTTGCAATCATAGTCCAAACGTCGTCCTTGCAATTTTTTACGGTGATGCTGTATATTCCAATGACAAATCACATTAAAATATTGAATTATTATGCACGACTTGATATAATTGGCCTTACCATAACTTCCTTCAGATCTTTCGTTTGTAAATGATGCAATGGCTCGAGGAAATTTTGTTTGATATTGTCATCAAGTGAGTATTTTACATCAGCCATTTGTCGCAATGACTCGCCCATTTCGATTAAAGCTTCCGCTAGAAGAATTGAATATCCACCACACACATTGCAATAATTATTTTTTCTTTTATTTTGATTTATTAATCAATCTTTTGAAAAAAAAAAGTTCTTTTCTTCTAATGGAGCAAAAAAAGGCTCCAAATGCAGACATACCAAAAATACTATTATCGCCCAGCTTTTTGCCATACATGAGCATGCAATCGGAGAGTAAACCTTCTGGTTGTGGATAAGTATTACTTTTCGCTTGGCCAGACAATTTTGATATTCCTTTGACGGCCGCCATTTTAGCTCGTGCGGTTGGATTCGGCTGAAGGAACTCTTTGGTTTTAATTTGTATCTCCTCAACCAATTCATTTGTTACATCGGTTTTCTGCAAAACGAACGCAAATCGACGCATAAATTCAAATGCAATTCAAATTTGAGGAAATTTTCATTCAAACTAAATCGAACAATTTACAATATTGATTGACAATCGGACGACAATGCGACAATTCCACTTACCCTCTCCATATCCATAAAGTCTAAATCTAGTTTAGTGCCCTCGGCGCCACCCATTTTTTCGGTAACATACTGAAAATGATGAGAAATCACATCAATTTTGTTTGGTTTCATCGATAAATGCCAACGAAATTGTAATTCCGTTCGTTTGGATGAAGAGAAAAAAAAAACGTTGATGCTATCTTCTGATCGGTCAAGCTGAGCGAAAAACACGAAAAACACACCATAATGTTCGATAAACGTCAAAGATTCATAAATTCAGCTGCAGCTAATTACAGCGGTTGCAACATAATTCGAGTGTAAATTCAGCGCAAACATACAACAGCAACAATGAAAAAGTAGAAGAAAAAAAGAATCGTAGCGAGAAGCTCACGTGCTAAACCACTTACAGTAAAACGGTTAAGCGGCCGTAAATTAACGCAATTAACTATACATCTACCATAAATGTGCATCTTCGATATGCGTTCGATTTCGCTTTCGAAATGAGCGCGTGTGCCTCTTTTGTGTTGTTAAGTTTGTTTTCTTCTTCTTCTTTGTCGTCGTTTCGCCATTGCAAACAATAATCGCAATTTACCACTCGTAATGCGAGAGTGAAATGGTTAATTGTGGCGCAAATGAAAATTATTCCATTTATTTCTTTTTTTCTGCGTTTTTTTTTCTTTCTCGTTACGAATTTTTCTCGGAGCATTTCATGCGTTTTGAGCACACACACAACAAGAGAAAGTGTAAAAATTGATACAACTTATATAATTTGAGGAAAAAAAAAAATAAATTGTTACACATTTTTCTTTCATTTGTTGCTCGATTTCGATCTCAAACATTTGAATCAGAAGATTAGCCGCAATAAAAAAAAATTTCGTTTCAACAGTTTCAACTTTTAAAATACGCTTACCTGATTGGCTTTGTTTATTTGTTTCTTTAGACCAGCGAATGCCATTTTGTATGATTTTTTTTCTATCTGACTCGCTCTCTTAAATAAAAATTAAGCCGATTTTTTTTTTGGGATTTTGAATAGATGAGTTAGCTGTGTTCAATTTGTTTACTTCGCCTGGTTTCTTCTGAGATTTTCTCCACTGAGTATTTTCGAGTAGAAGACAAGTCTTCGATTTTCCACAAATGCCGGTGTAAGGGTTTTCGAAATTGGTTCGAATTGTTTAAATTTCGTTGTTGTTTCGATTTTTGTTCGAGATAGAGAGTATGTGTGTGTATTTGAGAGTGGAAGAGAAAACAAAAATGTGTATTCGTTTTGATCCGATCGCCTTTGTTTCTGCTAAAATTGTCTCAATTGTTGGTTGTTCTTCGTTTGTTCCATAGATTCTCCAAAATGTACGCAATATTTTTGGATTCCCGTGTGGTATTCGACGCGCTTCGACTGTAAGAATAATCAAACAATTTAGATATGGAAACGTGATGAAATGCTCTTTTTGAATTGAAATAACTTGAAAAAAATTAAACGTATTGCAATTGTAGAATGACCTTGAGGTTCTTTTTTTTTAATAAAACAAAAATCACCGAGAAAAAGAAAACGACGATGCAATCTTCTATTCGAATTGAATGCGACCCATTATTCTTATTGCCATTGTTATTGGAATTGTGTGTTGTGAAAATTACCACATGTTTATCAAAACACGTAAGCGATAACTTAGTTCTCACACAGTAGTTCAATTGTACGATGTTGTGTGCGCTCACGTTGCCAATCTTCCTTTGTCTCTGTGTGTGTGTGTATGAGACTGTGTGTAGGTCAACGTGCGTCTATTGCCAACTAAATCTTTTGAATATGCGTCAACGGCAAATCCAACAAACAGCATTCATTCTATTCAACTTAGCACCAAATAGACACGACATCGCACGAAAAACAAAAAAACAATCCAATGAATTGACAACGTTTACAACGACTACGACGACGACGACATCATTCATAACTTTGAAATGGTTTCATTTTGATTTCAATGTACGCTTGTGTATTTGCACAATTGTCAACCGCAATTTTATGTGCCGTGCAAGCGATTATGTGTAATAGCGGTGAGAAAGCGAACATATTCACGTGAGCTGTCAATCTATTTTTATTCACACCTCACTTTTCAAACTTTTGTTTCTTCTTTTTTTGCTTCCGAAGGTCTTTTTGAGAAAATAAAAATGAAACAAATGGAAAATTTGTTGAAGACAAAAAATAACGATTCAATATTGGTATCAATTTCAAGTTGACATATATATTAACGCTATGATGTTGACGCTTTTATTTCAGTATTTTTAGACGAAAATGACATAAATTTTTCGGAGCTCCGTGTGGATTTGTGCTTCTTAAATCCATGGGGATTATAACCAGTGACGAAGTCTTTCTGGAACAATTTTTGGAAGACACAGATTTAATTGTTCGATGAACAAACTCGTCGAAATTGAAACAATTTCAACTTCACATTTCAATATTGCAGCTACTTATCGCCTCCGTACACAAAAAAAAACAGATACTTGTTCAATAGCTCATAAGTGTGTTTATCAGGAGTTGACTTAATCAATTGATCAATTTCACTATTTCAACGTCAAACAATGAAATCAAAATACATTTTATTTCTCCACCTGAACCATAGGCCATCAGTACTCAACGAGATATTCTCATTGAGAATACATCTCGCTTAATTCCACTCCAAGAATGCAAACACCGAAACGACTTTTCGCAGCAAGAAACAAACGCATCTGTGACGGTATCACAAACCGCCATCATTGATAACACGATAATGATGGAATCATCGCAGATAACACACACAGAAAAAAATCTTCGGAAATTTTGGGTGTTCGCCGTAAAATTTGACATTTATATATAAATTTCTATATACATTTTACCGGCAACACTTCAATTTTCCGGGCGATGACATATTTTCGAACATTTTATCAAATACCATATATATTTTATCGCTTGAAATGACAGATGGCGCTAATTTCTGTTGGAATATTTGAAATTATGTCATCGCCCGGAAAATTCAAGTGTTGCCGGTAAAATGTATATAGAAATTTATGTATAAATGTCAAATTTTACGGCGAACACCCAAAATTTCCGGGGATTCTTTTCTGGTGCAAGTATATCGATATCAAAAGATAATGCATTTTAGTACGCTGCTTCAGAGTCTGACACTGCAGACGCTGCAGTTTTCCATTGCGTTCTTCGAAATTTGATATCAACGAGAGCGAAATTTCATTAACCAAATTACCGAGGTAAGATGCAATTAAATTGGTCGCTTTGTAGAGAACGGGTCATTTTTCAGGGGGAATTGTTGTTTAGCTATTGTGCACACGTTTCAGCCGTGTGAATTGCTAAAAGTTCTACTGCCGATGATATCTAGATCGAATTCATTAACACCTAGCCATTTGAAAATGGTTTGTAATTTGCGTTTCGTTTTAGATGTATAAACCGAGTGCACCGCCATGCTATGAAGACTTGAGTGAAATACCAAACGATGCACAGTTCAATCAGCCAATTGATGTTCCAATTTAAACTCAACCACAACTCCAAACATCAATCCAGCCTCCAAACTTGAATCAATTTGAAATTCCAAGCGTTTCACGTCAAATTGCAATTATCCGTAATTATTCAGACGATTTATACATTCTAATAATACGCATACAGCGAAGAATTCACGGTTACCTAGCGAAATCATATTTGCGGGCTTCAATTAACGTGAATAACGATTTCAGATGACGCCTACTCAGGACTGTGTACAGGTTGCCAATTGCCATTATGAACACGCGTAGGATATCGCACCACTTGTAAAACGCACTTGACATTTTTACTGTGCTGCATCTTTTGGTAAAGAACTTTTATGATTGGAGGAGTGAGATGGATGGTCTTGGTTCTCGGAAATATTTCATTCAATGGCAAATTGTGATATTTTCAGTTGCTACGTTTGTTCACCCTTTGTTTATTGTGTGGATTCGTGTCGTGAGCCGCAAGTCTACTGTAATGCATGCGGTCGAATGATTTTAGTGTGATGGTTTTTGTTTTAAACAAACACTGGAGATGAAAACCTTTTCACCACGTTTATTTTTCATATTGTGAATATGGATACATCAATAAATATGTCACAGCTTATGTGTTTTCCCCCACCCAAATGCGATAGTTTAAAGTTTAATTTGAAGAGTAAAAGTACACTAGTATAGATTTATTGCATTTTCCTTCATCTATGAAGTTCTATTGGACTTATTCTACCCTTAACAGAGCTGTTATAGGCACCCAATCGGTGCCGGCACTTAGATTTTGAGTGCCGCACCTAGTACAATCACAAAAAATAAATTTCGATAATTTATAATTTCATATTTATTTCAGCAATATAAAATCATATTATTTCTTCAAAAAACTAGCAAATTTGAAAATTTTCAAAAATACTCAAGAATTATACTTTCAAAAAGAGCTCGGTGCCGCACCGATTCAAGTGCCCGCACTTTTGCAGTGCCTATAACAGCTCTGACCTTTAAGCAGGCGTTATCAAGAAGAGCCTTTTTTTAAAATAATATTCACGACTTGATACGAGAATAAAATGAAAGAAAATGATGAAATTCTGTTTTGACGAAGTACATCTGGTCTACATTACATCTAATTGTTTTATTTTTTCTATTCATTTCGGTATGAAAAGAAGAGAGTGAAAAAATCGATCAGTTGTTGTACATAAAACAAGTACTTCCTCGTTCTGTAGAACGATAGATATCTTTCCTTATGAGGAAAAAAGACCTTTTCTCCATCACTCTCGCGAGAATTATAAGTGAAATAATCTAATCCAATTTATCAAATAATTTCCGGGTGAATTCACCACCCGAATGAAGAGGCGCAAATCGGGCAAAAGAGTAAACCTATCGAAAAAAAATAGGATTTCATGTGCCATTTGAAATTTAACCACAGCAATGAATTTCAATGTTAACCGTAGCGCCAAATCAGCATGGAAAATGTGAGTTAAATTCCGAGTCCGCCCTCAAATCCAATCATTATTATCAAAAATAATCGTAGGTCAAGCGTTCAAATACACCATTAAAATAGAAATGATTTATTTTGACCAGCAATATTCATGTGCATCGGTATTCATTGCCATTGTCATGTTTATTTTTCCATGGAAAAATGTAGGCGTTAGTGAAGGTGACTGTATGTATGTGTTGCCGTTCGTCATAAATAATATGTTTTGGCTCTATCACACCACGTGCAAAACACAAATACCATTTATCATAATCATGCACTTGATTGACTGCACAGAGCAATGAGTTTCACAGTACCAATAAAACGGTATTTTTTTTACAGTAATTTCGTTTGTACGTTTTGTGTACTGTGTGAATTCATGACATCGCCTGCAGCATTAAATACTTTTTTAAGTAATATTTTCTACACTTGAACATTTAGCGATAGAAGAGATAAACAAATTGATTTCAATCGAATATGCTTATGTAAATGTTGTCAATACAATGAAATTAAGAAGTGTTTAGACAATGAATCCAAATGTTTATTTTACATTTGCAACAAAAGTATAAACTTGCAAGAAAAATTTGTTTTTTGAGAATCTTTGCTTGCTCTTAATTTCTCGTGATTTTTTTTTTCTTCATAGACAGAACAAGTTGTTCTGAGTTGACCGTTTCGAAATATGATGAATAAGTTTTTTTTTGAGAATACCGAATTTGAGCTCACAGCCGAAACACACAAGTGATTGTGTGACTAAAATGCGTGCATTTGAATCAAGCTGAGTTTCAAGTAATGTTTTGTTGATTCAAACGCAATGTTACGATATATCAAAAATCATTTGGAATCGTTATCATTGTATATGAATGGTTTAGAGCGAAAATGTAATACAGAAAAGTTACGCTGAAAAATTTCGATGATGAATGAGCGGAAAAGGGATAGCTATATAGTATACTGTGTAGTAAATTATAGTGAACTATATAGTAATCTCTTTTCATTTGACATTTTTTCGCGCAATTTTTCTGTATTGCATTTTCGCTCCAAACTACTCATATGTTTGAACGGTTTAATGGACGAAAACATTTTGCCGGGATCATTTTGGCAACGCAAAAAGAAAAGTTATTCAATTTATGTTTGGTCAAAGATTTACGACGTACGAGGAAAAATTGCAACAACTATTATGCAACGGTGAATTTGCATGTTAACCCTCAACTGCATGAATTTTTCCCAAGACTGGGAGTACTGGTATTTGGTTGATTTTTGGCCATATATAACGAAAAAAATATTCATAATCCTAGATTTCCCATAATTTAGTCAGGAAATGCGATAGAAATAAGTCAGAGAACAATGAAATCCATTGTTTAAAAGTGTCAAAAATATGTCTAATTTGGAAACCGAATAATTTATTTTGTCAAATATTCGTTTTCGTGCACATTTTTGTTTATTGGTGAGTTACCAATCGTACGACATAGACAAATGACGCCAAAGACAAAAATAAAGAAAAAACATTGACAAATAAAAATTCCCCTTGAAGCAATGTCATCCGCCGTACGATTCACATTATACAGGTGTTTAAATGATGCCCGCCAAAAGGCAGGCTTATGCAGTTGAGGGTTAAGACTGTAATTTCATTTTCCATTTGAAAAAAAATCGTCCGGTAAACAAGTATGAAGTGATTAACATTGACAGAATAATGACATAGAAAATGGGGAAACTAAAATTCATTCAAACGGCAGATATGCATTGGAAGAAATTTTGATGGAAATATTCATAACACTTTGGATCCTTTGCTTTTTTTCTTCATTCTTTTGGATATTTCTGCATTTAAAATATTCGAGTGAGTGAATATTTGCTGAAGAAAATGTCATTTTAAATTTTAAATTAAATTTATTTTCATCACTTTCTTGCGTTGTTCCGGTTATAGTTATACATTTACGGAAACACACTGTTCTCTTTTGAGATATGACGTAATTCAACATAAGAACAATTCGTATGACTTCGGTTAAGCTATGCGTATATACATGTTACAGTGGATCTTGAGGCGACGTTGCCTAACCATACTATTACAATACACTGTATGTTGATAAAACCAAACAGTACTCTTGACAAAAAAAAAACAGTACACCTTCTTCGGTGTTAGTCATCAAAAACCGAATCATTTTCAAAAACACTTATTTTTATCAAAAATAAAAAATATGTGCGTAATTTCTTTATTTTTCTCCTATGAGACTCGGTTCGTGTATGTATAAGTTGTTTATATCACCACATGATTAATAATATTTCAGTTGAAATGAGATTATTCGTCATTTGATACAGCATACAATTAATTTTGAGGTTTCATTCCGTGTTGACCGTTTTATAGAGGCCAGTGTACTTACAGAATCGTGAGTTCAAGTATCATTTTCAAGATAGTTTCGAAAAAAAAGCGTCTACATGGATCGGCGAAGTTCGTTACCAACCTACGAGGAGGCAATGAGAATTTGCAAACCAGCGACAAATCCACAGACAAACATTCGCATCGAAGTGCATCGTCCAAATTTAAATCTACCAAGTAAGTTATTGTAAAAAATTCGAAAAATTCGAACGAGCAAATGTTCTAAATCATCATTTTTCCAATGTGCCATTTGATCTTTTTTTTTTGTCCGTAGCCCCAACATCAGTAGAGAACTCAACTTCAGGATTGCGTTGTATGCATTGTAATCGTGAAACGCAAACTCATCTTAAATATCATATAACGTGCAAAACACATGTAGTGTTTCTTATAGCACTTGTTCCATTTTTTGTACTTCTATTGGTGATCAACCCTGATTTCCAAAAGCGATCCATTTTTATTATGTGAGTATGATTTTGGAAATCGGAATGCTTACTAAAAAACCTTTCATTATGTTATGATTAATTTCAGCGCTATAACATTCGCATTCGTCTATTACGGCCTCGTTTCGTGCCTTGCACCTAAGAAATATTGCTCAAATTGTAACAACCGGATATGACACTAATAGTTGCGAGCTGGAAAATGGCAAAAAAAATGTCCATACTTGATAAGAAATGTCCTTCTCAAGCGTAAATAAAGTTTAAAGTTGTTGTTAAAAATCAGTCTTTGTCTTTGTCTTGTGTTTTTTTTTGGCATAAGGTATGATCATCAAGCTCCTGAAATCTCTAACATTATGTGTTATTGAAAAATATTAGGAACAGTGCCGGAATTCTGTGAATTTTTCAGACGGTTGCTGCAAGGGCAACACAGGCTTATGTGTACAAAGAGCCATAGAAGCACTATCGCATAACACCAATATCGCGATAATATGCCCAGCATAGCAGACTGCTTGCGGTCATAGTGTACACAATATATTTTGCAAAGAACGAACGAACGCAACCAAGTATACAAGTTAAAAAGATCGTCGGCAATCGGCATATGCTCCACCATGCCAGGCATGTTATCGTGATGTTGGAATAAAGTTAAAGATATTGCATCTATGCTTTTTGGACACATTGCCACAAGCAAAACCATGTGGAGCCGATAATGTGTTAAAAAATACATTGCACAGGGTTGACATCGAACACATCATGTGTATACCGATACACAGGAGATTACAATCGCAATACATACGAGATTTCTATCTTCGTTATTCGAATCAATTGCACAGAAACATTTTCGGTTTGTGGAAATTTTATCTGGAACCATGGCTATGTGCGTAATTTCTCGGAATTATCCTTCTGAGATTGGGATATGTATATGTGTGTGTATATGTATATTTGATATAAGATTTTTTTCTGGAACAAAATCAGTTTAGAGATTTTTTCATTCCATTTTGGCCACTTCATACAAACAGATCGTTCAGTGCTTCTGCAGCATCGTACATTTAAGTTTCATTAAAAAAAAAAAACAAATAAAGAACCATAGCGATGAGTCCAGCAAAAATGTCGTTACCATCATACGAGGATGCAATTAGACATTGTGATCCTGCACCAAGTGCAGAAAAACACGTTTCTCTCGAAGTGCCAAGTTCATTCATGTCGAGTAAGTAGATTCATATTCAACGATTTTATAGCAAAAATGTTTGAAACCATTTTCTGCATTTTTTTTGCTGATCGGTTCTTTTTCCTTACATCGCAGACCCTAACTCAGTGGAGAACTCAACGTCAGGAATGCGTTGTGCTACTTGTTCAGGTCCATTGGAAATCACCGTAAAATATCATATAACCTGCGATACACATATCACATTTTTGGCAATATTTATTCCCATTCTGATTGGTGTATTGATTTTGATTCATTTTGACATTTTCCCATTGAAATACATTTTATTGAGGTATGTATGCTTTGTTAATTATTTATTATTAACTTATTTTGGGCTGTTAAATCAGAACAATTGCAAAAACGTGAACTAATGTTATGGATTTTCTTCTAGTTTTCTACCAATCACATTGATCTGTTACTATTTGAAGGGTTGCCGTCAACCTAGGAACTACTGTTCATTTTGCGACAACCGTGTATGAGCGCAGTGAATGGAAATTGAAATACTATGATCATGATTTTCACTCGTTTTTTTTTTCTTCATATAATTCCTCAAAAGTATCACTCAAGTTAAGAATAAAATCAATAATGTAATAGAAACAATAACAACATGTTTGTTTCATTGAAGCAATTCTGTTGCATCAATATCTCTAGTGGATCTTTTGAAGCGGTATTCAATCAATTGTTATAAAAGTACGTTATTTTTCACTAAAGAGTGCAGTAAGTAAGTGAATTTTCAATGAATCCTTCAGACAAAAGTTCAACAAATTGACTATTCAATTGGATAGGTTTACTTTATAGGAATAAAAGAAGTGTTTACGCAATCCAAATGCTTTTTTCCAACTAAGAATATTGTTTTCGGTAATATTTTCATGCTTCACAAGATTTTTTTTGCTAAAAAAATTAATTAGAAAATGAAAAATAATTGGATGGTATTTTTGTGGAATTGTGATTTTTGAAAAATCAAAATGATTGCATCAAATTTTGAATAATATTTTGGGCATTTTCATGTTTGGCCATTAACACTCATTAGTGCTTTTATAAATTTGTGCCATGAACCCGAAGATCGTTGTTCAAAGTGCAAAAAAAAATCAGATTTTCACATGTGCAACAAGCAAGTTGCAATGGACGATTCCAGTGAATGAGAACCACAACAACGGATCATTTTTCCATGAAAATCATCAATTTGAGCTCCATTCAAATCAAAGGTACGCAACTGATATTTTATGAATTATTACTTTTGATTTTACATTTAATTGATAATTTTTTGAAGTGAAGTCATGCAAGAGATGCATGTTACCGAATGTGAAATAAAAGCATAGACAGAAAAAATACAAACTTTTTCACATAAGAATAACTTTAGATTAGTGTAATGTTGATCAATTTTATTTGAGCGTTTGTCTACAGACAAAAAAGTGTTCATAAATAGTATACCATTTGTATATAGACACCTTTTCCATGCCAATAAAGTGTTATCATTGATTTGCTAAAAGAGTTGCTAATTTCAACGTCGAATTGCATTTCGTGTGCATCTCTTTTTGTTCAGAAGTGTAGACGGATCGCACTAACAAACCCACTACAGAAGCAATTTCGCTGTGATAAAACCTATTAAAACCGGGAATTTTTCTATCGGGTCTTTCCATAATTAATTTTTGTGCTTGTTTCCTTCATAACGAATGATTAAGTAAATGACAATTCGGTGTACTTATTCAAAAATGCAATTTGTTTGCATACATTTTTGTATTCAGTTTTCAAAAAGTCGGAGACTTTTTTCGAGTTAGAAAATCAAAAAAAAAAAAGAAAAGATTTTTGTATTCAACGCGATTTCAGTTACGAAACCAATTTTGGGCGAGATAAGAAAAAAAAAATATGAAAAACAATATTTCGCGATGAGTTAAGAAAGAAAGAAGATAGAAAAGAAAAATCACAACAAAGTAAAAGTTGACTAAAAATAGCGAATGCGTTGATGCGACGACACGAGACATTGTGAACATTGTACAAGATGTGGAAAAATAGAATTTTCTTCGGAGCTTTTGCCGTCTTGTGTGGATGATGACGTTAAGCATCGTTCGTAAATAACACTGTCACACATACATCGATAAATCGCTACGTCGCACGTGTTTGTGGCATGTGAATTGGTTTGATTTAAATTGAACTTTTTCTTTTATTGATTAAATTCAAACGGCATTTTTATCGCAAACGAAAAAAAAAATGAAATTTCAGTGCATTCCAAATATATACACCTGCGTATAATATACCTTGCTTTTTCAATTGTATTCAGATTTGTATATGGCCAATAAGTCATGGGCTTTTGTTCAATTTCAGACATTTCCCAAGAGTTATTTATATCATTTTAAAGTAGCAGTAAATTTTAATATCTCAAAATTCCTTTTAAGCTTGACTGTGTATACTGAAGGAACGTTGTTAAAGAGAAAGAATTGTGCGTGTGTGCTGTGTGCGGGTGCGGGTGCGTAGTGTATGCTAAATGCCAGTCATACTTGACTTCAACGATGGCTCCTTTGATCCATTTCGCTGGAAATTCTGTCTTGGTAACGCACACCTTGAGAGTTCATTATAATGAGCTCCAGCCAGTGTTAATAGCCACCGTGGGGCATACCGTGGGTAGCACAAAAGTGATACCGTGTATCTGTGAAAAACTCACCCTTTGTTGTATTCTCTGCTGTTGACCTATTGGACACACAGCGTTTGAACCATTCTAATTAGCATCGTGACATTTTTGTTCAGCTAATGGCACTGTGTATTTTACGTTCGAATTCTTGTGGCAAATTGATTATATCAGAAATGATGGACAAGAAAAGAAAAAAAAACATCAAAAACAATTCAAAGAAAAGCCCATAGTCGATTATTATTCATTTTCAATGAATTCTTCCTCTCGGTTGTATCAGTTTCAATGAATCGAGAAAAGAGAGCAAAATACTCTTTTTCTCAAAATATTTGATATTCAGAGAATGTCCTGTACGATCGATAGTTTATTCATCGATCGATAGTTCATTGCGTTACTGTTTAGTTTCAAATTAGCTCCGCATTTTAATTATAATTTGTCATTCATTTACCATGGAATATATGTAACAAAGCTACTTTACTCATTAGCTATGGCAGTATGTATGCACAAATAAGTTTCAATCGGTCATCGAGCATTTCACAGTTGGGTGTGTGTATTTGTCATATATGAAGCGCAAGACAATTGCCAATTTTGAGGGAGGAGAGAGGTAGTGGAAGTGAGAGAGTGGGTACGTGGAAAGCGAATCGAGAGTAAGTAGCTGAAAACTGACCAAGGGAATTATTCATATCGAATACCAAATCGACAAATAATCCCCAACGCACAAAAGCCAAGCAACAGACATGTTTTCTGCTTTAACACAAGAGTCGTGCAGCAGGAAGAAAAAAGCAGTCATGCAGTCCTCCCTACCCTGTTCCCCAACACAATGAGCTTACAAATTCTTCTGGTGTAATACACATCAATCAGCTATGGGCCTACAACGTAACACGACAGAGCAAGCATATGCTTTAGTCCAAGGCTATTGACTGATGAACAACAGACGAGAAATAAAAATAGGGGAAAATCTCCATTCACAACACGCTACTCACGCTCACATTATCGTTTGTGTGTGACATTGTGTTGGCAAAACTATCGTTGTTGTTGTGGCTATTCATGCAATTTTTTTCCCTTTTCTTCTTAGAACGAGAACTATCATATCAAAGGCCGTGCAACATGGCTTTTTACCATTCACTTGGCGTACGCACACGAGTCAAAGGTTGTGTCATGCTGTCTTTATTTTTGCCACCACAGTAGTTCTTGGAACACTGTTAATGATTGTGCTTTTAATATACGGCCCAAATGATTAAAGTCATCGGTCGCACAAACAAACACACAACATTTATGTTGTGCAAACATTTCTAAATGAAACTTTTTTTTACTATTCAAGTTTGATTTAATATCGCATCGAAAACGTAAGAACTATGTTGGCGTACACATACACACACACACACACACACACAAAGCACCAACTTATTTATATTAACCAAATTACAAGGCAAATGCAATGCTGCCGAGTGATGCACGAGTTCGATAAGAGGTCATTACTAAGTTAAAATTGACGAGCGTTGGCTTTGTGATGCAAAACTTCAGAATTAATTGTTGGATGTGCGGTTGTTGTTGTTGTTGTTGCCTTCTATTATTTTTGTTTGTTTTGTTCCACTAGAGTTTGCGTTTTGAATTTTTGCCTCTCGTTTCTCTCGATCTCAAATACCAAAATTATCTTATCTGCATGTCTGCCTGTGCAATTCCAACGTTCACCGATTTTCCGATGCAAAATGGAAAATACACACACACTCATACTGGCATTTTGTTGTTGGCAATAACACAGCATCATCCGAAAAATAAAATTTTATTAAATGTATTATAGAAACACAATTACATTTAAGCACGAGTGCAAAATAGCGAAGCGAGGAAAATACAAACGATGTATGAGATTTGTATTTTTTTTTTAAATGCAAATCTGCTTGATATTCTGATTTGCTGTAAAATATGCAATATACAACGGGTATTAAAATTGTTTAGCTTCAATCTTGTTTCGAATTACTCGTTTTTTTCGTTGCTTGTTTGCTATGGCTCGCTCCAGCACAACGAACAATGGAGCAGACAGAATGTGAGAATAAAAAAGAAGTACATGAGAGATATGAATTCATTTTATCGCCCCCGAAACGGATAGAGCAAATACGCTTAGTGAGTGAGTCAGAGACAGAGACGGAGACACACACACACACCGAGAGAGAGAGAGAGAGAGAGAGAGAGAGAGGGAGGGAAGTAAACGAATAAGCCCAGTTTGCAAACTGGAATGTGTGAAATGATGCTGTTGCTGTTGCTGTTGCTGCTGCTGCTGTTGCCCCGTTGAAACCTTCGACAACAACCTTCAAACAAAAAGATGATTTCCAAATGGGGAAACCGTAAACCTCACCATTCCAAGCCGAAACGAACTGGGAAGAAAATGCATAAGGAGCATGCAAGCAAATGACAACAACACACAGACACTAAACTGAGCTAGAATAGCAAATAATTGAAATGGTGGCAAAGGTCACGTCGAAGGTGTTCTGTCATTTCCAACCAAACACTATCTCTATATTTCGCTGTGTGTGTGTGTGTTTGTTGTTGCTTTTTTTGCTCCTTTCATTTCAAAGTTCCATCTCTTTTCCTCTCACACGCCTGAGCCGTGTGCATATGCCACTTTTGCTTTTAACCTTTTCCACATGTCAGTTCAGCCAACGATTCCAATCAGTGAAAATATTTATGTTTGCGCCACACAAATCGAATCGAAACCACAAAATCTCGCTTATTGAAAATTCAGCGATAATTTATTGACCAAACAGGTAAAAAACATCATAAATACAAACCAAACGCGCCCCCGCATGCACGGATAAAGTGGTCAATTCGCAAAGTGGAGTGTACATTGATTTGACTATATTTGATTCGTT